AAGCCTCCGTGCCCAGCTGAGATGGCGGCTGGGGTGCCATGAAGAGTCGCTCCCCGGGATAGGACTGGAGCGAAGGCATGCTGAAAAAAGCAGCAATTGATGGGGAGGGGCGAAACCCCCCCCCACCTGCGAGCACCTGATAGGATCTGGCTCCTGGCTGACTGGCAGGGGGCACTCCATGCCAGTGGATGCCCAGGGCAGCTGCTGCCGTCCCAGAGAAAACTCTGGGAAAGAGAGTGCTGCCCCCCTGGCGCCCCCTGCTGGTTCCAAGGGGAAACAGCCAGCAGGGAGAGGATGGCAGAAGCCCCCCCTCCCCGCCCCTCCCGGCCAGGGGCTTGAGATGGGAGGAGCCACGGCAAGCAGGCCCTTGGGTGGGGGAGGAAGGAAGGGGCAAACAGGGCTGCAGGAAAGATTGTGGAAGGACGTGAGAAAGCAACCTGAAATCCCCCAGGGATGATGCCAGGGAGAGGGAGGGTCCCGGAGTGAGGAGACAGGCTCGCTTTGGTCCAGCAGCTGCCTTTATTGATGCCAGCAGGAAGCCGGCTTTGAAAATGGGGCTGGTCCTCTTGCTTCCTCCTCTCGCTTGCTGGCCTCTCACAGGGCAGACGGGCGCAAGAACTCCTCCCCGTCTGCAGGGGGAGACGGGCGGTTGGTCCCTGGGGCAAGGGGGAGACCCCAGACTGCCCCCTGTGAGCCCAGGAGAACCAGGAGGCCAGGTGGCTGTGCAGGACCCAGCCTGGATCAAGGATCTGGATGGAAAAGGCCCCTCCCTCCCTCGGGATGAGCCTGGCAGCAGAGGGCATCCCCCCCACTCCATTTCTCATTCGCTCGCTCGCTCTCCCTCCCCTTTGGCATCACACCCCCCCATGGAAAACTGCCGCCAGGGGCTTCTTCCCCCACCTACCGCTGGGGAGGAGGCCACAGTACTCCTGGCACTCCTTCTCCAGGTAGAACTTGTTGGCGTTGCCTCCGCAGCCCCGGAAGGTGAGGCACTTGCCCTGCTTGGCATCGAAGGCCCAAAACGTGTCCTTGCAGGGCTCTCCTGGGACGATGGGCAGCCGGCAGGCGGCTGCAGGCAGAGAGGGAGGGAGAGGTTGCCGCTGAGGGTCAACGCAGGACTTGGGGGGGGCCACACGAACCCCCCCCACCCCACACCCGCTGGCCTTGCTGCACTCACCCTCCGTCCGGCAGGTCTGCAGGCAGCCGCGCTCCGAGGGAAAGTTGTTTTGGTTTCCCCGGCAGCCGCCATAGAAGAATCTCTCGCAGTTCTGGGATGTGGTGTTGTAGAAGTAGCGCAGCTCCATCCCCAGGCAGGGGCCGGCGTCCTTGGGCTGCAGGCAGAAATCTGTGGGGAGAGAGCCGGCCCACTTGCCTCCAGGAGAGCCGTTTCAGGCAGAGGAGCAGGAACCTCCAGCGGGCATGATCGGAGTCATGCCCGCACTGCTGGTCCCCCCCCCCAGTCCCTGACCACCCAGCTGATGGGGATCCCCCAGGGGAGCTGCGGGAAGTGGAGGGCCAGCTTGGGGAAAGGGGCTTGAGGCCTCCTGGGGTCTCTGGGAAGCTCACCTTCCCTGTTGCCCCCACCAAATGATGGGGAACCATCGGCAGAGCCTGCTTCCTCGTCCCAGGTGCTCCTCCGGTCTCTCTGGGGGAGAAAATGGGCCAGTCCTGATTTCGGGGGGGGGGGATTAAGGGCTGAGCCCAGGAAGGCCCCTCAAGGAAATTATGTACCTGCACGTTGAGTTCTGGCTGGGGGGGGACGCACTCCCCTGAGGAAAGAGACAGCAGTCAGAGGGGTCGGGGGGGGGCACTGTCTCCACAGCCGGTGGCCCTTTGAGGGAAGGAAGGGCAGGCGAGCCAGACAGCCTCAAAGAGTGTGGCATGAGTGGGGGGGGTTCCCTCCCTCCCTCCCTCCACTACCCCACCTCTCCTGGACTGGGAAGACCCTTCCCCTCCTCCCCTCTAGCTTTTGGTTTGCCTGTTTCTGTCAGTGTGAAGAAGGAGTCCTGGGGAATGCCCAGGGTCACGGAGAACTCTTTGAAGGCCTCTATCAGGTCCTGGGGCAGGTGGGGGCTCCTCCCTGGAATGGACAAGAGGCGCATGGCATTGGCATTCCCGCCATATGGAATCCATCTGTTCAATGCTGAATGGAGCCTCCATCTTCAATAGCAGACTACCCCTTCTTACATGCGATGGGCAGGGCTCCCGCTGAGCTTTTGGGGCTCTGGGAGGCAGCCTCCTTGTCCTTCCCCCGCTTGGAGGAGGCTGGCCCAGCCACTGGCCAAGAGGCCTGGCATCCCTGGCTCCGAGGGCAAACTCTCCTGCCCACCCCCCACCCCGCCTCTTGGAAATCAGAGTAAACAGGAAGGCTGTGGGCGGAGCCTTCCTTTGCCCTTTGCCCCAGCCCCCCTGGGAGCCCCCAGCTTGCCACTCCCAGGTGGGCTCCTGTGCAGGGGACCAGGGGGACGCTGCATGTCTCCAGCTGGGGGCCAGAGAGGCGGGTCTTCCAGTCGGATCCGGAGGGCTGCCCCAGAGGCTGTGGGGGCAGCTTCTGGTGCTGCATGGGGGTGTCTGCAGCCCTCAGCAATCCCTCTCTGGCCCCGAAAGTGGAGAGCCAAGCCGTCTGTCCCAGGAACCCCCCACCCATGTTCAGTTTTGCACCCAGGGCTCCGGGCTGGCTTCCATCCCTGTAGCAGCCGCCTACCATAAAGTTGGGTGGTGACGGTGTAGCCGTAGCTGCTGTTCTTCTTCCAGGCGAGGAAGGCGTACTCATCGTAGTTGGTGCGAGCCACGTAGCCCTCAATGTGGGTTTCCCATCCTGGGGGGAGGAGGCAGAATGATTTCCCCCTTCCTATGGCCCAAGAAGCTGGGCTACAAATGCTGGGCAGCCCCCCTGCCCCGCCCACGAGACCGCTGAGCACCAAAGTCCCCCAACCTACTAGAGTTGTAGTAATGGTATTTCCCGGGGGTGCTGCTCTTCTGGTAAACTCCAACCGCTTGGCTGCAGGTGCCTTGCCTGCAAGGGGGGGGAGGAGGGAGAGAGTGGCTGAGAACTGATTAGGTGGCGTTAATCACTGGCAGGTCTTGCAGCCGTGATGGCTGTACTTACCGGAGCCTCGTGGAGGTGACCGAGAGCTCGTTGCTGGTGTCCCCTGGAGCCACCATCAGCGTCCCCATCAGGTAGCGCTCCTTATATTTCTTCAACCACTTGCAGGTTGTGCCGAGCGCGATGGCGTACCACTTCCCGTAGACCTGGTGAGGACAACCAAAAGGGCTTATGCTAAAACCATGTCCAGTGCAGGCCTTGTGGCGGAAAGCAGACTTCTTCAGCGGAGTTTTCCTCCACTCCTACAGGTTGGTGCTTCTGTGGCTCTTGGCATCCCTGTTTTTGTGCCCGTCCTCCGTTGGAGTCGGGGATCCTCACGGTAACGCTAGCTAGAATTCCAGCCCTTGCTGTTCTGTTTGGACTTACGCCAGATCCATAACAATGACAGAAATGGTTAAAGAGATTGAAGACTGAGCTTTAAGAGGCCACCTGAAGCCCGTTCCTCATTTTACCCTGTCAACACAAAGGGGTCTTACTCTCGCTTCATCGAAATCCTGCTGGATTTGGATGGGGTCAGCTGGAGCGACTGGACTGCCGCTGGCCGAGAGGAGAACGGTGGCGCAGAGGAGAAGAAGCACTGGCGGCTTCATGGCTGCGGCTGCACTTCTGCTCTGCTCGGCTTCTGCGGGCAGCTCTGGGGCTGCAGTGGGGCGGCTTTGTTTTTCTAGCATGAGGAAATTCGAACTTTGGTCTGCGGGCTGCACCAAAGGTGAACGGCCTTGCGATGGATGCGGCTGCCCGAGAGCCTGAAGATGGGCTCCCCTGCACCTCCCGGTTGAATTTGAGAGGGGGGGGGCAGAGAAATGTATTTGGATAAGGGAAGGGGGCTTCCCTCCCACCGTTCCTGTCCATTCAGCTGAGGCGAGGGGGGGTCTCGCCAAGCCCTGGGCTGATTGCAAGACGGTAACCGCCTTTTAGCAGTGGGTCCTGGTGGGCAGCTCTCCGTCCTCGTCCTTTGCGGAAGGCCCTTCCCGGAGGCTCCTGCTTCGATCTGGATTGACCAAAGGCATCCTGACACTGTGGGGTCTTTCTGTCAGCCTGCAGACCCTCAAGCCCTCCCTCGCTGCCTGTGTTCCTTGTCCCAGGAATAATTAACCAAAGCAAACAGTGGGAGACAGCAGCCCGCATCCAAGGTTGCAAACCCTCCAAGGTTTTCAGTTTGGACATTGGTTTCTAAACAGACAATGTTATTGCAGGCCAGCAGCCAGGTTTCATCGGAAGTGGCCGAAATCTGAAATGGGCTATTTTCCTCTGGTTTTGCTGTAAACAGATCTCCAGCATCGCTGCCTGCCGGCTGAAAGGATTGGCAGCTCAGCCAGCCACACAGGAAACCGGCCGGTCAGCCCAGGTGGGATTCAGGCAGAGCCAGGAGGGACCCTTTCCGGGCCAAGGGGCTTAAGCAGCCGTCCACCTCGGCCTCAGGCGCTCTGGAGAAAGCCAGCTTGAAGCAGGGGCTGGCAGAGCTCCAGAAGCCTTGGCTAAGCGCGGCCCAGATGGAACGGGGGGGGGGCTTTCCCGGCAGGGATCAGGTGGCCCCTTCGGTCACACATTAGGCTGGCCATTCCCCTCGCTAGCTGGGAGTGACCCGCAGGGGGGCGAAGTGTGCGGGACCCCTGGACCGGCCCCTGCAGAAGAATTGGCTGGCTCTTCAGGGCAGAATTCCAGCCGAGAGCGTCCCGACGGGTTCCAGGGGGAATCTTCAGATTGTGATGCCTTCATGTGACACATAAAGGCATCGCAATTTCCCTCCAGATGTCACAGAGCCCCAGCAGAGGCTGCACAAACCCAGGCTGGACCGAGAGGGGGAGCTTGGCTGGCCCTTGCTGCCTGTCTCCCTTGAAGGGCAGAAGAGGTTTTTCCGGAGCTCGGGGAGGCGCGATCCAAAGGACTCAGGATGAGGTTCAAGAGGAAAAAAGATCTGAAGGAGCAAATCCGTGAGCTGCAGTCCATCATTCACATCCAAGGTAGCTCTTCTCCGGCCCTCCGAGTGCGCCCACCTGGCTGGATCCTGGCCTCTTCGTCACTGGGAGGGGAGGGGAGGGGAGGGGAAATGCTCCCGGCTGGCCTTTTGCAAGTGGGTCTTGCAAGTGGGCTGCTGTTTATGGGAGGAGGGCCTCCGAGAAGGGCCTGGCTGGCTTCGGCCTGCCCAGAGCAGCAGCGGCCCTCTTCCCTCGGTGGCTCCCGTGAGTCCCCTCCACCCTCCACCCGCCTTCCCTTCCAGAACAAGGGAGGAAGCTCCGCACCCAAGGGAGCGAAGAGGCCGTGCGCAAGAACAGGGAGCTGATCGGCTTCCTGCGTACCACGCTGCAGGGAGAGATGCATGAGCTGAATCTGGGGCTGAAGGTGAGCGCTCTGGGTCTGCCCCACATGCCTGCCTGGCCCAGATTAGCCCTGCACAACAGAGAGGAGGGGAGGCAGGGTGGCGCCTGCTTTGTTCCCAGCTCTCTCAGCCATCCCGTTGGGCGGATGGTCTGCAGCTCTCGCCTCTCTTTCTCTGCTCCTCGTAGTATGACCACGTCACGATCAGCAGGGCCTGCCTGGACAGGAAGCGGCTGAAAATCGCTTTGGCAGAATACACTGTGGAGGTAACTGGTGGGCACATCCTTTCCCCAACGCCTTCCCTCCAGGTCTCCTCAACAGGCCCTTCCACCCCTTCCTAGCAAGCTCGAGAGTCCCTGAGCAAACGGGTCTTCGACCGGATGAACACCCACAACATCCTCTTGTACGAAGTCAAGCGCCGGGGGAAACGCCTGGAGGAGCTCCAGGTGACACTGCAGGACCTCATCGACCTGGAGATGGCCAGTCCTGAGGTCCAGCTCCAGCTCCAAGTGAGATCCAGCTGCCCTGCCCTGCCCTGGGATGGAGGACCCTGGAATGCCCAGGGAGGGTGGGGCGCCTTTCCCTCTGCCTTTTCTGTGCATGCAGACCATCCGTCAGCTGGAGAACAACATGGAGAAGATGCAGGTGAACATTGTGACGGCAGACAAGGTCCACATCCTGTACGTGAAGATGCTGGACGTGCTGAGAGCTGTGAGTCCAGTTTGGTGCTTCTGGCCAACCTCTGCAGAGGGTGCTGGGTCTGATCAAAATTGTGGCAGTCCCTCTGTCCTCCTGCTTGGGGAGTGGGGTGGGGGGCCCTCAATTCTGGGCACTCTGCAGGACTGACCTCATTGCCAGAAGCATTCCCCTGTGGGTACTGGAAAGAGAATGCCGGGAGGGAGGGAGGGAGGAAGGGAGGAAGGGCCAGTCCCTCTTCCCTCCTGCTTCAGCAGCAGTCCTGGTGGCTGTGCTGGGGACAAGGGTGCCTCCCCCCATTGCTCCTTCCAGAATCTCCTCCTCCCTGCAGGAGCTTTCTCAGCTTCCTTTTGTCCTGGACACCTTGGCGCGCCGGGTGGGCACCTACCAGATGGAGCTGCAGGGGATGGACCTGATGGCAACGGATATGCGGGAAGCCACGGAGGCCGCCAAGGTGAGAGCCACCGGGGCAGCTTTCGGCCTTGTCAGCCTCTGCCCGGCACTCCCACCCATCCCTCACTCCCCCTGTGGCTGCAGATGGACATGGCCAAGGCTGAAAATGAGTTAATTGCGGAGAAGAAATTCCGGGAAAACTCGCTCAGTATCCAGAAGAAGCAGATAGAGCGGATCCGCGCGAAGGATGCCGGTGAGAGGCACCGTCGGACGGTGAGTCCTTCTGAGGCGCCTGGAGCCCTGCTGGCCTCCTTCAACAAGCCGGTGTGGGGTCTGGCTCTGAGGGGACCCTCCGCATCTAGGCTGCCTCTGAGGGGACACAGCTCAGGGCTGAGGCCTTGAGCCCCCCGGGGGCTTCTGGGGTTCCTCTGCCTTCTGCAAGAGTACCTTCCCCTAATTCGTGGCTTGGCTTCCATTATCAGCAAGCCCGGCGAGACATGGACTTCCCTGCCCTGATGATCCGTGAAGGAACAAGGGGTAAGCAGGCCGGTGCGCCCCCAGCCACCCTCGTCAGACGTTGAAGGTTCCTCTGAGAGGGCACAGCCTGGGGTCGAACCCCCCTGCAGGTCTCCTGTTCTTCCAGGGGCAAAGCTGGAGGCTTCCAAGGCCCAGATTGAGTACCAGGGTCTAGTGACCAGCGAGGTGGAGAAGATCAAAAGTGCCGTGCAGTGCTCACATCTCTGGGTATGTCCAGGAGCCCAGCCCAGACTGTTTTTTTCTTTGCTCTGACGCAATTCCTCCAAAGCTCAGCCGTGAGCAGGGCAAGGGGAGCGTCAGCAGCCCCACATCCTGGTTGCCCCCTTTTCCTCTTCTCCAAAAATACCCTCGGGAGTTGCGTTTTAGGAGTTCTTTCAGACGGGTGAAAATGACCTGCTTTGCCACCTGGTGGAGGCAGAAGCTCCCCAGTCTCTGGCTTGGCTTCTCTCCTTAAGTCCCTGACACCAGCTGAAGCCCCCGCCCGTGTTTTTGGGAAGGATGCTCTGATGCAGGGGAGAGGAGCGGGTTGGGGAGGTGAAACATGGGGAAGGAAGTTCCCAACGATGGCCCACAGACACCGTCTTCTCTTCCCTCTCTCCCTCCTTTCCTGCCAGGATATTGCTGGGCGCTTCATGGCCCAGAAGAAGTCTGAGGAGAACCTTCAGCAGCAGATCGCCGAATCAGAGAAGAAGCGACGAGGCCTCAAGTCCCAGCTGAAGGCTCTGGAGCTGCAGCGAGCTGAGCTGACATTCCACCAGTCCCCAGGCTTCCTCAGGTACCTGCCACCTTTTCATCAGCAGAGGCACCAGGATTGAGAACGCCTCAGCACCACCTCTGGCTGCCTCAACCCGACAGACCCAAAGTAAAGTGGCTTCTCCTCCCAGCTCAAAGAAGCTAGAAGAGAATCTGCGGAAGAACCTGGAGGAGGAGGAGGAACGGCTTTCACGGGTCCATGACCAGGCCTCCAAAAACCAGGAGCTTCTCCTCCATTTTGAGAATGGGGTCGACAACCTGATCCTCAGGCTGTGTGACATCCGTGTGCCTGGCCAGGTCTGTCCCTCTCTCAGAGGGTTTCTCTAGCCAGCAGCCCCTCGGCCGGCCCTGACCCAGAGCAGGTCCCCCAGAAGCCCCCTGCCTGTCCCCTGCCTCTCTTCTTCCCTGCCCCTTATGCAATGGGAGAGCCAGTGGGGAAGAAGCCCCCTCCTGCAGAGGAAACGGTGGGGTGGGGAGCTGGAGGGCGGGCCCAGGTGCAGCGGGTCTGACCTGGACCTTTATCCCCTGCTTTACAGGAGGGCTTCCCCAAGACGGAGGATGTCTTCGAGAAGCTGCAGTTTTGTGAAACAAAACTTCTGCATTTGAGCCGCATTATGCTCGATTTGCCCACCGACAGATTCAGCCCAGACGAGAGCGACGAGGTGAGTCTTCTCCTCCGGCTGCAGGCTGCAGTCGCTGCCTTTATGCTGGGCCAGGAGCCAGAGCGCTTCCCTCCAAGGTGGCGGAAATGTGCCCCAGAAATGTGATCCAGGGACTAACAGGATCCTGATTCCGCCTCCTGTGATATTGCCAGGCTGGCTCTGGGCACTCCCCCCCCGCTTCCTTGACTCAGCCCATCCCTGCTTGCGTACCAGGCAGGCACCCCAAGCCTGACAAGGGAGGGAAGTTCTGGGCTGAAGCGGCCATGGGCATCTTGGTGGGCATCACGCTCTCTCCGCCCCCCCTCCCCGCTTCAATGTCTTGCCTGCCACCTTCTAATTCTGATACGTAATTTGGACAGACGTTTGTTCACCTCCGGAATTTCCTTGAGGAGAGCACTGGGGATGAAGAGCAGAACCTGAGAATCGCTTTCAATGAGGACGAAGAGGATGTCCGAGGTCTGTCCTGTCTTGGGGGGGGGGGTCAGCAAGGGATGGGCTTCCAGCAGCTCCCCACTGGCATTCATGCAGCTCTGGGCTGGGCTTCACTGGGGGGGGGGGGGGGGGGGGGGGGCTATTGCTGCCAGATCAGAAAGTTATGCCTTGTTGGGAGTTTCCCAGCAGATCCCTCTTCCTAGGCTTTCTTGTGAAACAGCCTTTCAGTGTTTTCCCAGGGAAGGTTCACCGTACTGGATCCACTCTGGAGCAGCAGGGTAGGGGCTGCCCTGGCCTCAGTCCAGCTCAGCCGGTGGCCACCGTGTGTGTGTGTGTGTGTGTGTGTGTGTGTGTGTGTGAAGCAGAGGCTTTCTTCGCCTGACCCACTGCCACAGGGCCAGCCTGTGGGCCAAACCGTGGGTTCCTTCCTCCCCTTGTCTCTCTTTAACCCTCCACCACAGAAGCCTTTCACTTTGCGGACATCGACCACAGCTACGTGCCCAGTCGGGAGGAGATCAAGAAGGAGGGCCTGAAGCTGATTGAGGAGAAGACCAAGGTGACTAAGAAAAAGCAGAGAGGGGCCAAGAAATGAGAGTTCCAAAAACTTGGCGGCCCCTATTTCTCGGATATGGAGATTTGACTCTATCCTCTATTTTTTAATCTGTATTTGTTTAAAATGACATTGAACGTGCTTTAAACACGCCTCCTATGGAATGTGCAAAAGAGAAGTCTTCCCATGTTTCCATAAATTGAGAATAAAGGCAAAAAGAGGTTGATGTTGGCTTGCTCTGAATCAGATCCTCCTCGGTGCAGATTTCTTTATAAAGGCGATAATAGGGAGGATGTTCAGTTCAGGCTGGGAAAGTGCGACTTTGGGCCCAAAGGTTGCATAAATCTTATTCCGCCAGTCGCACACGCACGCGCACACACACACACACACATAACACACGCAGGGCTGGGTAGGAGAGACTTGTGGGTGGCCCTGAGGTTGCAGGCACGTTATTCCACGACTTCATTTGGCCTTCCGGAGGCAGATCCGTGGAACTGGGACCGGGAGCCGCCTTTGCGCGGGCTTCGGCCGAAGCGGCTCGGCAGGGACGGTGGCGCCGCCCGGCTTGCCTGGGGCGGCTGCATTTCGCCTGCAGAGACCCAGGCGGCCGCTTGGGGGCGCAAGCAGACCCAGAGGCCGCCTACTGACGGCTCTCAGTTCAGCATCCAGCGAAGAGCGGAGTCCGCCTTTCGAGGAGCCGTTGTTGTCCCTCACGGGCCACCGTCCTAAGACTGCGCGGCTTGCCTGGTTGCTAAGCTACATTACAGACGGTAGCGCGCGCCATCCCGCGTTTCCGGCCCTTTCTGTCCCGAACTGGTTGCCGTAATCCGCTAAGGTGCTGCTACATCCGGAGCTGTAGAAGGCAAATCGGGGCAATGACGCGGTTCAAAAGCGGAGCGGCTTCGTCCTCCCGCCACGGCGCGGTTGCCTCAATAGGCTCAAGTATCCCTTTCTGTCCTCGTGGGTGCCCGTAGTTCCGGAACACATCCGCTTCCGCCCTGCTTTGGCGCGGCATCCCTCCCGCCAAGTCCCTCGCGGGCTGCCGTAGCCCGGCTCCGCGCGCGCGTCCTGCGTCGGCGCCGCCTTCCTGGTTGCTCGGAGAGGGAGAGGGAAGATGGCGGCGGCGGCAGCGGAGGTGCCCGCCTTGCAAGCAACTCCGGCTGCCCCGACGGGGACGGCGGCTCCGGGGACCGCGCGGAGGCCGGCGGCTCAGCGGCCGCGGGCGGAGAAGTAGGCGGCCTCGCCGGTCCGCGCCTCACGATGCTGTCGGCCTTGAAGAAGCTGGTGGGCTCCGAGCAGGCCCCGGGGCGGGACAGGCCCATCCCGGCGGGGCTGCAGTCCATGAATCAGGCGCTGCAGCGGCGTTTCGCGAAAGGCGTCCAGTATAACAGTGAGCGGCGGCGGCGGCGAGGGGGGGAGAGTCCGGCCGTGTCCCGGAGGGCCCTGGACGGGAGCGGCTGGGCTGGCTCGGAGGGCTCCCTTAATTCCTCAGTTTTTCTTTCTCTAGTGAAAATTGTCATCCGAGGTGACAGAAACACGGGGAAGACCACTTTGTGGCATCGACTGCAAGGAAAGAAATTTGTTGAGGAATATATCCCAACCCAGGAGATCCAAGTCACCAGCATCCATTGGAATTATAAGAGTGAGTTTTGCCAGCCGTTGGGGATGGAGACGCACTTTACTCTTTGCTGTCTGATGTATAACTCAACCCTGGAGCCTCGTGTTGCTGTAGTCCCCTCGTTGCTAAAGGCAGGTTGCCAGTATAGGCTTGTCCTCATTTTTTAAAACACACCCAGCCATCTGCTCTGTGCCATGTGGGTCAAGGGTAGTTCTAACAGGGTTCGAGTTAACTGCATTTGAGCAATCTTTTCTAATTATGTGCCTGGGTGCCTTTTCCAGCTACTGATGATATTGTGAAGGTTGAAGTCTGGGATGTGGTAGACAAAGGTAAGGTCTCTTCTTTCATTCTGGTGTTACAGTCATTATATAGTATTTGGATTGTGCCTGATAGTATTGGCAAACGGGCATCTTCCCTGCCTGCCCCACTGGGTTCCTAACGGTGAGCAAGCATCTCTTTGCCTGTGGCTACTGCTTTCTGGTGCTCCCTTGAATGCCCCCACTGGAAATGCATGTTAAGCTTGTCCAGTTTCTGTCTCCTCTTTCTACAAAGTGATGGGATGTCTCCTTTGAGCTTGCAAAGACAGAAATGTTGTGGATCAGATTTGAGGTGGGGTGTGGGAAAAGCTACGTATTTGGGGCTCTCTTTTCTGCTCAGCTGGGAGACCGACAACTTTCACAACAGTGTTCTTCTTTCAAACACCACAGGCAAGTGCAAAAAACGGGGAGATGGGTTGAAGCTGGACAACGATCCTCAGGAGGTGAGGCACACTCTGACCTGCTGTCTTGTAAAGCACCACGGCCTTCATTTGCACATGGTGCAGCCTCTTATTTCCTATAGGCTGTAAGCCATCCAGGGAAGCAGCTGGGGTTTTTCGAGATCTTGTTCTCTTTCCACCCCAGGCAGAATCCGAGATGGCCTTGGATGCAGAATTCCTGGATGTATATAAGAACTGCAACGGTGTCGTGATGATGTTTGATATCACCAAGCAGTGGTAGGGACTGTTGCCTTCACCATTCCCTTGCTGTAACTCTGTACAAGAGAAAGGGCTCCCGGTCTGAGAAATGCAAAAGCCTCTTGTTGTCAGACTTTACTCAAAGCTTGTAGGTGATAAATACCTTTATCTGCTTCTGAAGAGCTGCGAGTGTCAAGTAGAACTGATGAAGTAGGTGGCTCTGTGGGGGAGGAGGGGGGTCTCCTTCAGCTGCTCTATTAACTCAAGAGCCCTGTATATTGCGCTAGGCTGCTGTGTCTCCTGTAGTGGCAGAATTGACCTGGACAAGCATCGTTCAAGGAGCTCTCCTTTCCATCCAGGACCTTCAACTACATCCTGAAAGAACTTCCAAAAGTCCCAACACATGTACCAGTGTGTGTGCTTGGGAATTACCGGGACATGGGCGAACACCGGGTGATCCTGCCTGATGATGTGCGGGAATTCATTGACAACCTGGACAGGTAAAAACTGTTAAGTCTTGTTAAGGAGCTTCAGGCTACCTTCCTGGCAGGGAAGCCTTCCTGAGGACATAGCCCTCTTGTGCTCTAGTTGATTGCTCCACTTAAACCTGCCTTCTGGCTGGGCTTGTTACATAAAGATAGCAAAGGTCTGAATGCACATTCTGCTCCAGTAGTGAGTCGCCATTGTCCAGCATCTCACCAGCACCCTCTGGACACACGTGTGCCAAATTACTGCCCAGGCAGTCAGTGAATTCTGCTCAGACCTTTTCTCTGTAGCTGGCATCGACTTTGCCAGTGTTTATCTGCAACAACTCGACAGAGGATGTGAGTGGGCAGAAGTGCTGTGTGCATATGATGAAATGCCTGCAGACTCATTGTGGGCCTGCTTTGCACTGATGGGTTGATCTCCTTCATCTAAGCTAGGATCCACCAGCATGGTGGCTGGTGAGGGTAAGGTTATGGGCATAAAAACTGGACGTGCCCTACCGAAGAATGGATGTATGCTCCATCAATTCTTGTGCCTTTTTGGACAGCTCTTTTCAGTTGAATTGCTGGAATCCATTGCCCCCCCCCCCAAGCTCATGGGCAGCAGGCCTCTTCAGCTGCCTGCCCCATTCTTCGAAGGGAATCTGGCATTAATGCACGTCTTGGAAGGGCTATGGACAGCATAACCCCTCACAGACCGAGTCAGCTGCAGTTGGAGGGTCGGTCCCAAGCGATCAGCCTGCTTGGGCCCCTTCGGAGCCTCTGGCTCACAGTCTGTCCCCCCTCTTCCCCCCCGCCTTTTGACATTGAACAGGCCCCCCGGCTCCTCCTACTTTCGTTATGCCGAGTCTTCCATGAAGAACAGTTTTGGCCTCAAATACCTGCACAAATTCTTCAATATCCCCTTCTTGCAGCTACAGGTAGGACTGCTCCAGCTCCCACCTTGTAGCGACCGGGAGGGGGCAGCATGGGCCCAGCCCAGCCAAGTCCCGTCTTCTGAAGGAAAAAGAGGAGTGGGTTCCCCAAGAGTAGAGCTGCTGCTGCTGTTGCTGCTGGCACCCTATAGCTGGACACCAAGCGCCTGGTTGTCTGTGAGGAGCCACACAAACCAGAGGAGAATCGTAACCTCTGTCTGGATGTGGTCCATCACTAGATGCTCTTTTGGGTTGGGATGCTGTTTTGCACCTGAGCTTCCACCTCACTGGCCACAAGTAGCTCTCCAATTCATGGCCTCCCTCTTGGGGCAGAGGAGAAGAGGGTAGCAACCCAGAGGTGGTGACACCCGAGCAGCCCCTTGCATGCTCTGAAGCAGGTGATCTCCCCTCTCGTCTCTTGCAGCGGGAGACTCTGCTGCGGCAGCTGGAGACCAATCAGCTGGATATTGACGCCACCTTGGAGGAACTCTCTGTGCAGCAGGAGACCGAAGACCAGAACTACGAGCTGTACGTCTGACGAAGCCGCTGGGCTTTGGGAGTGACTGCTCTCTCCTCTGACCTCGGGCTCTGTCTTCGGGCTTTTCTGGGAGCCTCTCGCCTTCCCTCTACAGAAAAAATCCTGGGAATTGTAATTTAAGTCTGGCCTCTGCCACTCTGTCTCCTGAGGTCACATTTTCCCTCCCGACAGGTTCCTCGAAGTGATGGAAGCTCGTGGCCGGGGACATGCCTCTCCTTTGGCCACCAATGGACAGACCCTTTCCTCAGGTTCCCAGTCTCCGGTGGTTCCACCTGGCAATGCTTCGGGGGGCTCCAGCCCCGGCACCCCCCAGCAGAGCTTGGCCAACCCCGGCCTTGCCACGGACCCTGCTGAGCCTCCAGAGCCAGGGCTGCTGCCTGAAACCCAGCCTCCCGCAGTCATTCCTGCACCAGCTGCGCCACAGAAACGTGGCATCATTGCTCGGCTCTTTGGCACCTCCCCAGCTCCCGAGACTGGTCCTCCCTCTCCAGGTGAGGGTGCAGTGCTGAAAACATCCCGGAATTTGGCTCCTAATGCCATAGTTTGGTGGGGATGGGAGAAGAGCTGACAAGAGGGACACAGTGCCAGCTTTTCCAGACCCACTGTTGAGCCTGGACCTCTGTCTGCTGGCAGACTTCAGCAGGGCTTCGCTGGTTCCCTGAGGTGCTTCTCTTGTTTTCCAGATCCTGCCGTTCCTGCCCTCCCTGCAGTTGCTCCCTCGAAAGTCCAGAGCGTAGAAGACTTTGTCCCCGAGGACAGCCTGGATCGCAGCTTCCTGGAAGACCCCATCCTGCAGAGAGACAAGAGGGGGAAACAGGCAGCAAAGGCCCCCACCGACAGTGACAGGTAGGAGAGCCCGCTCTGCAGCTCTGTGCTGCGGGAGGACCCAACGCAGCTGCTCTGCACTTGGCAGTGGCCACAAGGGCTTGCCCCCTCCCCACATTTATTTTCTGGGATTCTTGGTCGGCAGTGCTGGGAAAGGCCCCCGTCAGCCAGAGAGAATTCAGGAGGAAGACCATCTCTCAAGCAGAAGCTTCTGGATTTTGTCCCTGCTTTTTTCTACTGCCTGCCTGCAGGGTCTGTCATCACCCTTGATTTTCTTCTTACAGTGACAGAGATGCTCCTGGTGGGAACCCCTTGGTTGCTGGCTTCCAGGATGACCTGGACCTTGATGAGCGTCTGTCCAGCAAGCCCCCGTTGGCAGCAGAGCTGGTCCCGAGCAAAAACGTGAACCTGTCAAGCGAGGAAGAAGAATCCTCCAAGTTCTGCATCATGGGGGCTGAAGATGCTGCGTCAGAACAAGAAAAAAAACGGTGAAGGGGAGCTGGGAGTTGTGGAATGTTGCTGGCTACAAGTACCAGCAGCTCAGGGGGAGGGAAGGAGCTGGGCACTGCCACGGGGGAGAGGGCCAGAAGTTCTCGGTTAAAATGTATCGTTTAAACTTTTCATCAAGTCTTAAATAAAACCGTAACATAATGTGGCGAACTTTAAAAACAAAAAGAAAAATACGGCACCTAGGGAAATTCAGTTAACTGTGTATATTTTGGAAAATGCACATAGAAGAGAAACCTCAAGTCCCTTTCTCTTGACAGCTGTTGCCCTGAGGCCTCCAGGCGCTGCCCTCACTTTCCGTTTCCTCTTCGCCCCCAGAGCTTCCAAAAAGGCCTTGAAACCCCCAGAGCCCTCGGCACCTCCCAGATCTGCGGAGCTGAAATCTCTCACCAGCCAACCTCCAGCTGAGCCAAGCAAACGCTTGATGGCAGCCAGCGGCCCTGAGGCCCGTCCGCCCCCAGCGCCCTCTGCCTCCAAGCAGCAGGACTCCGAGAGCGACTCGGAGGGGCCCTTCGCCACGCAGATGCTCTCCTTTGTGATGGATGATCCCGACTTTGAAAGCGAGGAGTCAGAGAGCCAAAGGAAGCGCCCAGTAAGTCCCTGGCCCTCAGTTCGGTCCTCTGGGCCCATCGCATGTTTCCTGTGGGTCAGCTGGTGCTTTTGTCGCCCCAAGGAAACCCACGCACAGGTGGATCAGAAGGGACGGCTTCCCTGGGGGTCGTTTTGGCAAGGGGTGGGGGTGGGGGTGGCAAGAAGGGCTCTGCAGTGCCTTTTCTCCCTCGCCTCCAGGAGGAGTTTCCAGTGCGAGAGGACCTGTCAGACCTCTCCGAGGAGGACCCCCCTTCCAGGCCTCCCCAGCTGCCCAGACCCGTCATCCGCTCCTTCAGAGTGAAGGACGAGGCCGATCTCTTTGGGCTGGGCCTGGATAAGCCGCTTGGCCGAGACTGCAGCGAGGGAGGTGAGGGGCCTTGGCCACAATCAGACCGCGGGCCAGACTCTGCCTTGCGGAGAAGGCTGCGTGCAGCCACGGAGCACCCTGAGGGCAGCGGCCACGGTGCTTCTCCCCAGCTGAGCATCACCGTAAAGGCACCTGTCCCCCCACTAAGCCTGGTATCGGTTGGAGGCTTTTCGTGCTGCCGCAGGTTGTCCCCGTGTCTAGTTGGAAGCTAAACCTCCTTTTTCCTGCCCCTTCTCATCCCAGCTGCAGATAAAGAGAAGCAGTCTTTGAAGGAGAAAAAGAAAAAAAAGAAGAGAACTGGCAAAGAGGTGGGTCAGCATGCAGGTGTGTTTGTAAAAGTGCTAAGCTGCCAAAGTGGACCGGGAGGGCAGGTGGAAACGCTGGCAAAGCAGATTCCCAGGCACTGGGCAGAGCAGCCCCCAGAAGAAGAAGCCTTGTGTAACCCAGAGCAGCCCTTGCCTTCGTCTGCGCTCCAAGGGGCTTGCAAGCTCTGTGGGGCTGGCCCTGGGAGAGCCGGGCACGGCCTGGATTTGGGGCAGGTGGGCAGCCTTGAGTCTGTGTGTGTGTGTGTGTGTGTGTGTGTGTGTGTGTGTGTGTATGTCCCCGTGTCATCCTTTCTCCCCAACTCCTTTTCCAGGAAGAAACAGAGAAAATTTCAGGGAGGAAAAAGAGCAAGCCGAAAAAGAGCAGGGGGGAGAAGGAGGAGGAGGAGGAGGAGGAGGAAGAGGAAGGCAGAGGAGAAAAGGAGAAGAAGCCGCCCAAGCAGCAGCACCAGCAGCGGAGCAAAGCCAAGGCCAGCAGGATCGATGAGCTGGAGGCCTTTCTCGGGGGCGGTGCTGGGGCCAGCAAGCAGCGGGGGGGTGGAGACTACGAGGAGCTGTAGCCCCCCCCAGCCAGGTGCACGGGGCAGGCGCTCCCAGCCCACCACCGCCACCGCCGCCCCTGCCTTTCTCTGCCGCCCGTAGCAAGCGTGGCTGGAGCCAGAGCAGGCAGGAGCTGAGGAGGGGCCTGCAAGTGGCTCAGAGGCCCCCAGGGAGCCCTGGGTTCAGGCTCCCGAGAGGCGGCCCAAAGGGGGGCTGCCCATGGAGGCTGCCTCGTGTCCCGCGCGAAGTCGCTGCTGCCCATCGAACGATGGATCCGTGCTATTTTTTTATGAGAGAAACGGCTCTGGACCAATGGCTGCCCTGAGGGCTTGGCAGGTTGCAGGGTCCCAGCCAGCCAGGTGTGTGTGTGGGGAGGGGGGCAGAGGCCTTCCGTGCTGTGGGGGTGTTTGAGTAACCTGTGGCGTCATTCTGGGAATTTGGGGAGAGAAAGACAGACATAAATGCCCCCCTCCTTCCTGCCCTTTTCTCGGTTATCCCATTTTGCGTACCCTGGAAGCCCGTCTGCAGCTGAACATCTGGAGAAAAGGAGGCTAGCCTCCGCGGGTGAGGGGTGCTGTCCGCCCTTTCCTGGCTCCTCCTGGAGTGGGCTTCCCCCTCTTTCCACATCCCTGCCTCCCGGTCACTGCTGCATGTGTTTGCCCTGAAATCCAGCCAGCTCTGGGTAGCAGCTGGTCCCACCTCAGCTGCGTTTTCTGTGTCCCCCCCTCCCCTCCCCTCCCCCCCTTGCACCTTCACTCGCCCTCCCCTGGCCTTGCTGGGTGCCTCCAGCGATCTCACGGAAAAGCGGCTGCAAAATCCGGAATGCATTCCGTTGTGCCCTTGTGTTCCTAGGTATGGATTGAAGTGGGGCTGTTTTAACATTCCTCCCCTCTGCGCCCTCCACCCCCCCCTTGGGGAAATGCACTGGTCATCCTTGACCTCTAGCAGCCTGCATGGCACAGGTAGTGCTCTCGGGGCCTCTGGCCGCCCTCCATGGGGGGAGGGTGTGCATGACAAACCTACTCTTGACCCCTTGCCCCTCCCCCAAGCCTCCCAGCCCCCTTCCTCCTTCCCCCCCCCACATTCTCCCACCACCCCCAGGAGCCCAGTCTCTGCAATGCAGCTGGCAACGGAGACTTGTGCTGTTCGCCTCCTTTTTCTTTTACTCCCTTTTTCTCTTTGCTTTTGGGAAAAACAGCCCCAGTGATGCACTCCTCATTCCAGCTGATAAAGCTCTTGGTTGTACAACTGTGTCTGGTTTCCTTTCTTTGGGTGCCCCTCAGCTGGGCCCAGGCTGCTTCTGGGTAGCCCTCTCTGTGCGTGTGCGTGTGCGCCCACTTTGTGACCCCATCCTGGGTCGAGCAGCCCCCGCCTGCTCCTCCCTTGCTCTTTCCTCAGGGTCTCCCCCCCCCCCAGGCGCCTCCTCCTCGGTGCCCTTGGGGGAAACTGGCTTCTTCAGCAGCTTTTATTAACAGTTCTTTTAATCACAGCTTGTGGTTTTTTTGTGTGTAATTTTAAAAAGTGCCCCTGTTTTGCAGATGGTCCCCCCCTCCCAGGCCTTGTTCCTGGCCTTTCTCCAGCTGTCCAGCAGAGCTAGCCTTTGTATTTTGTGCAGGAAGGGTGAGTGACCCCACGTGTCTTTCTGTTGTTGATTAAGTTACTGAGCTCCAGGCTTCCCTAGCCATCCCATGCTGCCGCCCACCACCGCTGGCGTTGCTGTGGTAACCTGCCAGGCAGAAGAGGATGCTCTGGTCCCCAGGAGGGACGGGGGAAGGAAGAGGTTTGGGGGATTCTTCCCAACCTTGTCACCCGCAGAGAAGCTGAGCCCCTTCATGAGCCCCTGGCTGTGAATCCTTTGGGGAAACTGCTAATTCCTAATTCCTGCCATCCCTGCCACCTAATCCCACCCAGGCGAATCCTTCCCACTGAGCCCCCCTGGCCCCCCCCCAGCAAGTCAGCCTCAGAGGGATCCCAGCTTGATGAGAAGCCAGAGGCCAAAGTGGCCAGAGCTTTTCTCAGCCGCCTCTCGTGCCCCCCCAAGCCATCCTGACCCAGCCCCCAGACTGAAAAGTGGGGAGCCAGATGGCTGGACAGCCACGCCCTTGTGCTTTTTAATGGCTGGCAGGTCAAACAGCAACAAGGTGGGACAGTAGGATCGTGTGTGGCCACCCGGAGCAGGTATCTTTTGGTAGCTAAGAAAGACCAGCCTGGAATTTACACCCAGCTTGTGAGGGTGAAGATCCATTGGGGCCCTGCAAGTCCCAGCCCCGAAGCGGAAGCCCAGGAGTCGGCTGGATGTCAAAGACGCCGTCTGCCAGTGGAACGCGGCAACCCTAACCTGAGCTGGCGTGGCGGCCCCTGCGGCCATTTTAAACTGCTGGGTTTTTGTTTTGTTTTTTGGTCCAAGCAGATCAAGCCATTTCCATCCCTTTCTTGCTGAAGATAGAATAGTTTTGCTTGGAAGCTTCATCATTCTTCCCGAACAGGCTGCCCGGGGGGGGGGGGCGTGGACGACTCGGGATGCCCCTGTTCTGTTCCTAAAGGGGCCGTGGGCGGCAGGGTCTGAAGGGGCTTCCTCAGGATTGGGCAGCCGTCTGGGCAGCTGCTCGGGGATTGAAGACCCACAAAGAAGAGGGATATTTATGATGGATTTGCTTTTTGACAGATTTGGCGTGTGCCAACTGGTCCTTCTGGTATGTGGCGAGCTTAGAGGCAGTGGGGTGCTGACCCGTCCCCACAGAGGGCCCACCGGAGGGCAGGATGCCCAGTGCTACGGAGCCTCTGCCTCTCGCAGCATGACCCATGTTGGGGAGCCCCTTCTGTAGCCATGAGAGCCCACGGAGCCTCCACATTCAGGAGCAGTATAGCACGAATGCCAGTTGGCGCAAATGGGCAAGCTGTCCTGTCGTGTCCTGTTACGTGGTTGATCCCAGAAGGCGAAGGCTGGATGGAAGAGAAGAGGCAGAGTAGACTTCAGGCTTCCCTTTCTGGAGCCTGGCTGGCCGGCCTTTCCTGGCCCCAGAGCTTTAGCCCACCTGGTGGCAGGTGAGAAGAAGGGCACTCCCTGCCCGCCCGCTCCCTTCCCGCTGCCTCTTCCTGGCAACGTCACCCTGAGCAAGACGTGGCTGGCTTCTGGCCAAGCTGTCCAAACAGCCTTCCCTCTACTGGGGGTGGGGGCCACAGGGTGACCTCTGATTCGGAGGGGGGGGGAGGCTGGGACAAGCGGGGAGAGTTGCTGCTCCAGGCAAAGGCAAAGGAGGAGTCTGGCCAAGGAAGAGAAGGTCCGGCCCTGTCCTGCTCCGTAGCTGGGCTCGCAGGTGTGATTAATGGAGGGCAGGCTGGGCAGCCTTCTCGGACCCCTTTCCTGAGATGAGGGGAGTAGAACTGGGGCGGCTTTGCCCAGGGCAGGGGGTCCCAGGAGGAATCCGCCAAGCGAGGAGACATTCCTGGCATTCTTTGGAGAGCCTGCCTTCTTCCTGCTGCACCTGCAGGCCAGGGACAGGGGGAAAGTCTTCCACGGGTGGTGGGAAAGAAGAGACTTGGCTGGAAGGCCCTCTCCTCTGATTGGCTGGGACGGAGAGAGCAGATTCAGCGAAGGGGGTGCCAGGTCAGCTCCCCTCCCTCTGCCCTGGTGACGCTGGCCGGCTGTTCCTGGTGGATTCCTGCTCTGCGCTGGACGCGTCCCCTTTAAGGGCTGCCAGTGCCCGCTGGGGGCGCTGTGGAGCCCAGGAGGGGTCTGTGCCGGCCGCCAAGCAGGTGCCGGAGCCTCTGCTGCTGCGGGTGTCCAGGCGAGGCGAGGCGAGGTGAGGAGGCCGGAGCTTGCGGCAGAGGGGGGGGGGCAGTGGGGAGGTGGGGGCAGGGGACGGCATGCTGGGCCGGGGGCAAAGTCCTGCTCCCTGAAATGGGGGAGTTCGGTGCATCTCCAGCTGCAGCTGGGAGGGGACTCCCCCTGCCCCGCCACGCCAAGGAGCAGCGGAGGAGGTCCGGGCTGGAGGATGCTGTGCCTCTTTCCTCTGGGGGCAGCTTCCTGCCCCCTCCCCCTGCTGAACCGCTATCCATCCGCCAGCCATGACGTCTTCTGAAGAGGGAGCCCCCCCCATCCCTTTCCAAGCGCTGGCATCATCTGGACCCAGCAGCCCTCTGGGCATGAAGAGGGGCATCCCTTCCTAGGCCAGCGACCCCTCTGCCTCGCTCAGGTGGGTAGACAGTGTTGGCCTGGACGGGGAGGTGGGGGGGGTGTTTGTGGCCCTGTGCGATGCCCTCCAGATGGCCAGGCCCCTTGGGTTGCCTCTCCGTCACCTGCAGAGCCATCCCCGTGGAAGGCAGCCGAGGGGGGGGGAGTCTGGTGAAGGCATCCGATGCTGTGCTGCTCTTAACCCTTTCGCTGCTCATCCGTCTTCTTCCTTCAGGAGGCTTTTTGATGCAGAGCGAGAGCTTTGTTCCAGCAGAATCTCCTGCCGAGAAAGGCCGGCTGCTGAGCTGTGGGGGGGAGAGAGAGACACGCTTCTAGACATGTGCAGAGTGCGTTTCCTCCCCAAGCTGCGAGGCAGAGTATGTAACGGGGGGGGGGTGGCATGGTGAAATTCAGATGTCCTGAGGAGGGAACCCCAGGTGGGTGAGCTGAACCCCACCTGGTCTCCCTCCCCACCCGGCCCTTTGCACATGGTCAGTTGGGAGCAGGGACACTAGAGGAGGAGGAGGAGGAGGAGGGCGAAGTAAACAGGCTTCTGGGTTGTGCCTGCTGAGGCTGGCCGAATCAGAATGGCCGCTGTGAGGTCTGGGCTGACATGTTCCCGGCCGGGGAACTCCGTTCCTCCGACCCCCACCGAGAGGGGAATGGCAGCGCAGGCCCACCTGGCAGGGCTGTGGGGAGGATGGCTGTGGGGGAAGGGTCAGCAGAGGGAGAGGGAGCCGGGCCTGTTGGCGGTCTTGGCCTTGTGGCTCCTGCACCAGGAGACCCGACTTCCAGGGGACGAGCGCCATGACGCCAGACCTGGCAGGGAAGGCACCTGGGCAGAGGGCGGAAGGCAAGGAGGGTTGCCTGGCAACAGGGTAACTGGCACTGCCCTGGTGCTTGGAATGCCAGCTGATGGCAGCATCCGTGTCATGCTTCGGTTCCAGAGTTCCCAGGGATATTCTGGCCTGGAGGAGCTTGGGATGGCGCCCTCCCTCCTCCTCCTCCTCCTCGATGGGCGACTCAGAGACCGAGAGTTGAAATCCCCTCTCTGGAGTATTGCCTTGGCTTTTGCCAAAACGGATTGGAAAAAGGGAAAGGATTTTGCAGAAAATGCAGACCCTGTGGAAGGGATGGGGGGGGGGAATATGAAAGGAAGGGAGGGGTTTGGCAAGGCTGCGGGTGATGAAAGCCCTACTGTGGGAGGGGGTGTCCAGTGGGGGGTTTCTGAGTCACGTGGCAGGAGATCTCCCTGCCTCCCCCGCTCCTCCCTCCGTTTTCCTGGGATTCAGTGCTGATGGGGAGACGGCGAGGTCTTTGATCCCGGGACCTTCTCTTTTCATGGCTCGGCAGTGAGGAGGGGAGTAAAAATAGATGCCCCCCTTTTTCTGTCCTCCCTGTTTGATCGCAGGGATGCCAGAGGCTGATCTTAGTCTCTATCTGCACCGGCCAAGCTTCTCTTCCTCCTGGCCCGGCCTTCATTGGAATTTCCCAGCGTGCATTGCTTCCCAAAAGAGGAGTTTGTGTGTGTGTGTGTGTGAGAGAGAGAGAGAGAGGAAGAGAAAGAGAAAGGAGAAACCATGGTAACCATGCGGTCTAGGAGTGAGACCAGCTTGTATTTCTGTGTCTGCTCAGTGAATATTAGCAAAAATGCCAGCCAGTTTTTATGCTTTCCCAGTCCGGCTCTGGCCAGAGAGCGGCCCGTGCAGGGTAAGGTTGCCAGTGCATCAGGAAGCGTTTGGCCTGATGACAACATGAGCCGAGGGGAGGGGGGCCTCCTTCTCCTGTCACACCAAGCTTTGGCTTGTAGAGCTGTATCTTGTGAATCAGCCATAACTGGCTATGATCCCAGCCCTCATTATCCCCTCCAACAAGTCATCTACCCTGAGAGCAGCCACGATGGGACTCCTGAGAGTGGCCCTTGGCCTGCCTCTGATCCCCGATGGGGGCTGTGCTCGGTCTGCCTGCTGAGGGCCTTTTTGCTCCCTTTTTCCAGGCCTGGGTGCCTTCACTGAGATGATCTGAGGAGGGCTGGAGAGGAGCAGGACGCTGATTCTAAGATGACCCGAACAGACCCACCTGACGTCCTGGTGTCTGCCGTGTATCAGGACGTCCCCGTGGCCTCCGTGGGCTCCACCCGCTCTGCCTTCTGCCAGCCCACCTGGCGATGTGACTCCTCCATGTCTTCGTCCCTGGAGAACCAGCCTGCCCAACACTTCAACAAGAGACACTGTCGCAGCTTCGATTTCCTGGAGTCTCTCGACGACCCACCGCCTGTGGCTCCCGTCATGGAGCGGCATCCCCGGCGGCCCCCCACGCCGGAGCCCTCCTCGGCTCCCGTTGGCAAGAGGGTGTCTCTCCGGGCTGCTCTGCCGGAAAACTACCTTTCCCAGGGGAAGGAGGTGCCAAAGGAACTGGCTTCCCGAGCCGAGCCCAAGAGGCGGCCCCGATCCAAGAGCGCGCCCCGCGTCAAATCCACCTTCACCCCTGTGGGTGTCCCCATGTCTTCGGGCTCCCCACCAGCCCCAGCCAGGAGGGGACGGGAAGTCCATCGAGTGTCCCGAGAGCCCCAGCGGGCAGAAGCGTCCCCTCGCCGGGAGAGCAGCTACGCCTCCATGAAAGCCTTGATGAGCGAGGTGCATCCCATCAAGCTGCAGCCTCAGCGGGCCGGCGGCAGCCGCATTTCGCCTCTCTGTGTCACGGGAGCAAACTGCCCCGAAGAGGCTGCCCTGGCCCCCAGGCCCCCACCGCCCAGCGTGCATGTCAAGCGTCGGGTGGACATTAAGCCGGATGAGGCTGCCGTGCTGCATGCAGCTCGCAGTGCCAAGGGGTCACATGGCCACGGTGAGGCTCTCCTGCCCTGGCCTCGACCTCCAGGCACGCCCCATAGCTTGACCGTGCCCAGCAGCAGGCAAGTGCCCATGTCTCGCACTCCCACGCCCAGTGATACTTATAGTGGGGAACACCGAGGGCTGGCCCCTTACCCCCCTGAATTTTGTGATGGAGGTCCTGCTGTGCCCGAAAGTGGCTGCCTTCCTTACATCCCCTACGTGCCCCCAAAGTTCTTCTACACGGAGGAGCCAGGCAGCTACAAGTCCTACCCTCCTTCTTACGGGGGCCAGGTCCTCCCGCCCCACACCTTTTATGCAGAAGAGCCTCCCCCAGGGGGCTTCTACCCTCTTCCGGCAAGAACCTTTTTTGTGGAGGAAAACAGGACTCCTTTTCCCATCCAGGAGGCCCCTGCTCAGGCTTACTATGGGGACGACCCACGCCTTTACACTCCCAGGACCCTTCCCGCAAAAGCGGTTTACCCTGAAGACCCCAGGCCTTACCCCGCCTTGAGGGCCAACCCACGCATCTTCTATACAGAAGACTATGGGAAATACCACGAGCGGGAAGCCCTGTCTCGCACTTACCCCCATTCCCGTGTGGCTCCCTCAGTGCAGTTTAACGACTGGTACTGCTCCGAAAGGGGGACGGTGCCCTACCCAACCTGGCAGATGGCCCGCTTTCCAGCTCATCAGCCTGCCTCCCAAGCCATGCTGTCGTCGTGGCACGCCAGCTATAGCGTCAGCCCTCCCCGGCTTGGCATGGACACCAGGCACTACTCCAAATCCTGGGACAATATTTTGACCCCTCACGTGCGCCGGGAAGACCAGCTGCTGCGTGGCCGTAGCTACGAGAACCTGCTGTCGCGGGACCCGCATCGTGCTTTCTCCCCTGACGACCGGCGTCAGCCAGTGGTGGTGAACCTGTCCAGCTCTCCCAAGCGTTACGCTGCCCTTTCCCTCTCGGAGAATTCCCTCATCGAGAAGATGCACGCTGACCGGGGGCGCCACGGCTGGTTCGTCACACCAGAGATCACCATCACAGACAACGACATCCGAGCCAACAATGGGCTTGGCAGGCGTGAGAGGCGCTCAGCCAGCTGGGATGTACTGGATTCAGGGGATGCCCGGGACAGGGGCTGCGTCCCACGCCAGCCCTATGGCCCGGAGCCCCATGCCGGAGAGAGCGCCGCCCGCCAGCGCAGCCTAGAGCAGTTGGACGAGCTCATCACCGACCTGGTCATCGACTACAAGCCCCCTTCCGTTTGCCCACCTGGCCAGGTCAGCAACCTGGCCGATCAGCTGCGGCAGTTGATCAGCGATGGGCTGGGGCTGCCTGCCAAGAAGCCAGAGCCCTGGAGCCCCCTGGAGCCCCATCCCACCAAAGAGCAGCCTGGCCGCAGCTCCTTCCACGACGAGCTGCGGAAGGACCAGGGCCGCCGCTCTGCTGAGCCCCCGGGCCCCACCAGGCCCTCGGAGACAGGCCTGGAGGATTGTTCCCCAGATCTCAGTGCCGACGAGGACGACCTGATGATGTGCTCCAACGCCAAGTGCCGCCGCACGGAGACCATGTTCAACGCCTGCCTCTACTTCAAGTCCTGCCACAGCTGCTACACCTACTACTGTTCCCGCCACTGCCGGCGGGAGGACTGGGACACCCACAAGGAGAGCTGCATCTACGGGCGGATTGGCAGCACCTGCCGCCACGTGCTGCAGTTCTGCCGGGAGAATGGCGAGGTGCACAAGGCCTTCTCCCGCATAGCCAAGGTGGGCTTCCTGTCCCGGGGCCGGGGGGTGCTCTTTCTGGGCTTCCCCAGCGCAGGCTCTGCCGAGAACTTCCTGCAGTTTGGCCTGGAAAGCTTGCTGATGTCCCCCACTTACCTGTCGCTCCGGGAGTTGGAGGGCTATTCAGACAACCTTGGGGAATACGCCCAGGAGCTGCAGGAGGCGGGCCAGCAGTACGACCCCCAGGAATGTTTCCTGCTGAATGTGACCGTGGCGGTGGGGCAGGAGGTGCCCGACCGCCCACCCCCCAAGGCACAGGTGCCAACCGTCCGCAAGTACGCCAAGATGGCCTTGGCGTCCTCCAGCCCCGAGAAGATGATCCTCAAGAAAGAGCGAGATATGGAGACGCTGATCTTGACGCCTCCTCCCGGCACAGCCGACCTAGACAAGGACGGTGAGGAAGGACGCAAAGCGCGAGAAGTTTGCTTCATCAACATCCAGCGCGAACTGCGCATCCGTGGCGTCTTCCTGCGGCACGAGTTCCCGAAGGTTTACGAGCAGCTGTGTGCATTTGTGGAGAGCAACCAGCGCTTCACGCCCACCACCATCTACCCCATTGACAAGAGGACCGGCAGGCAGTTCATGTGCATGATCCTGGCCGCCTCCGAGCCGCGCACCCTCGACTGGGTGGCCAGTCCCAACCTCCTGGACGACCTCATGTGAGCCGGCCTCTCCTTCCCTCCTCCTCTGACGTCAGTGCTCAAGGTGGTGGCTAGTCTGTCCCGCTTCTTTCCAAGCAAGGACCGGTCAAGACTTGGCCCAGCAAGGGACGGAGCCCCTGGGAGAGAGCGGCCCTGCGCTGGTGGCCCTTCGCCCTTACCGGACGTGGGCATTTCTCATTGTTTGAAAGACTAGTCCAAATCTGGTCACCTTCAGAAAAGCGGATATTTTAGGAATTCCATGTTTTGTTGGTCAACTTTTAAGATAACCATGCTCAGCCTTACAGTCCATTTTATTTCTTAATTCCTCCAGACAAGAATGTTCTTACTTTATGGGGTGATTTCCTTTATTTTGAAAAATTGATCCTGGAGAATAAAAGTGAGGTAGGGGGAGTTTGCCACTGGCATTTTAGTTGGGGATCCTTCTCCCTGTCAGCTTCATCTTGCCATCTTTGCAGTTGGGCTTGGCAGAGGGTGGGTTGCAGTATTGTCCTCCCCCCCCTCCTCCATCTGCTGTCCTGTAATAAACCAGGACAAGGGGGGGCCTGTCAGCTTGGGCATACTGTGCGTGGAGGGGAGAGGTTGAGTCACTTCCCACCAGTGATGCCGCCTCCTCCTCCTCCCATCCAGGCAGGGAAATCCAGGCCAGGAGTTGTGGGGAGGAAGAGCGGTTGCTAAGGCGATGCTCCATCCCTTGCAGGAAGGTGGGAAGGGGGTCACTGCAGCCGGCAAAGAGTGGGATGCCAGGAGCTCGCCTCTTCCCCATCCCTTGGCTGAGGCTCCTGAAGGAGTCTTTCGTGAAGGGCTGCACACGAGAGCCTCCTCTGTCCCAAAGTGGTTGGGTATGCACGGGGAATTGGGCGGGGAGGGCTGTGTGATTGTTTTTTTGTCTGGGGAAGGAAAATGTATAACGCAGAATAGATTTGAGCGGGGAAGAGAGCTCCCAGGCTCTGCCTCTGCAGAAGCGCTGGACAAACCTTGCTGCTGTGTTCTGAGTTATGTTCTAACCAGGTTGCTTCCCTCCCTTTTTCTTGGAGAGAGTAGTCTGTCGGTTGCCCCATTCTCACGCTTGTTCAGGCCTATGATGAAAGCTGGGGAATCTGCCAAGGGCCACTGCGTCTTCCTGAATCTCTCGGGTGTGTTGAGTAAGCGAGACAGCAAGGGGAGGTGGGGGTTTCAGGAACCAGGTGAAGAAAGAGGGCTGCATGTGTGTGTGTGTGGCCTGGAATATCCCTGGGCTCTGGTATTGCCCCAATGTGACAAAAGGTGCGGCTGCTTCATCCATTGCACTAAACTGTAAGGCATGCCCTGTTTTAGCAGAGTAAGCCACAGTGGCACTCTGGAAACGGACCTGCTCTCCTCTAAAGAAAAGTCCCTCTGCCAAGGGGGAAATGAGCTCTTGGTCTGCAGGCAGCCCCCCCCCTTCCCTTCTGGCAGGCTAGCTGGAGGACCAGAGCCCCCCCCCCCCCCCCCCCCCCGTGGCCCCTCAAGTCCCTTCTCCAGGATTCCCTGGGGAGCTTTATGAGCTCCCCCCCCCAAGGAGAAGTTTGCTGATCCGTTTGCTTGGATTTTGCTGGTGGGGTGGGGGAATCAAAAGCACACTCTCTAGAAAAACTGGCTGGAAAAAAGTGGTTGTGGCCGAAAAGTTAGAAAGGTTTTCTCTTGCCTGGCATTTGCTGACATTACCATTGTTCCAGGTCTGCTGGTTTCCCACACTGTAGTTTGGATAATAAACAAATAAACATATGAATAAATATATAAATATACACCCAGACACGCTCATATAAATATATAGATACATAGATATATATAACTGAGACAAACTATTCCGTTTGAATAAACATAAAACTATAACTTGAATGTGCTGTGTTTGCATTTTTGGAGGGAGGGAGGCTGGGACATCCCCCCCCCCATTGCTTGGACTCTGCCAGCGTCTCAGTGCTCGGAGAACGCCCCACGCCAAAACAGCCTCGGGGTGGGCGGGAGAGCTCGCTTGTCTGTGGCGGCTCCAATGAGTTCTGCGGGGTTGGACTAGATGACCTTCGGATCCCTCCTGACTCAATTATACACTGTTTCCTCCATTTGGGGAGGGCGTCCTCGTGGGAGGAACTACAACTCCCATCGACTCGGACAACAGCGCCACCCTCGTCCAGCCACGGTACTGTACACTGGGGGGGGCAGCTCTCCCCCCTATAAATTGCTGAGCCGGAGCGCCACCTCCTGGGAAAGGCAGCAAAAGGGAGGCTGTTGTGAAGGCAATTTGTTCTGCCCATGGTAGCTGAGAAATCTGCATATGCTCAGAGGAACAGTCGCTTCGCTTCCCTTTAGCAGACCTTGCCGCCCGGTCGCGGGCGATACCAAAGAGGAGCGGATCGCGCATGCTCAGTGGTTCGGCTTTCTCCCGCCCTTTCCCTTCTGCGGTACTTCGATTGGCCGCTACATCCGCCTCGTCGTGGTGTCTCATTGGGCGGACAGTCGCGGCCGCTGCGCCTCGAGGGGGGGGGTGCGACGGCAAATGCGCGCGCAGAAGCTCCCAAGCGGGCGCGGAGATGGCGGACGGAGGCCTGGCCGGCGTCCCTGACACGCTCATCGACTCGGACGGCGTCTTCAAGTACGTTTTGATACACGTGAAGCCCGCGGGAGCGGGGCCGGGCAAGGACATCGTCCGCGGACACGCCTGGGCCGAATACCACGGTAGGTGCGCCCGGCGGGCGGGGCCTCCTCTGGCTGCCGGCGGCCCGGTCGCTGCCATTGGGAGAGGATCCGGGGAGGGCGGGCTCTGGGGCGGGGCTCCGTTCCCCGGCAACCGCCCGCCGCCACGCCCCGCGGTGCCCGCGGGCGCCCCCACGGGCGCGGGGGGGGCCTCCGGGCTGGCCGACCTCTCCCCCTTGCCCTCCGCAGCCGACCTCTTCGAGCGAGCGAGCGAGGAGCTGGCGCAGCGGGGCTTCCGGTGCCGGTGCCTGGGGGGCGGCCGGATCTCCCACCGGAGCGGGGCCAAGAAGATCCACGTCTACGGCTACTCCGTGGTAAGGACCCCGCGGACCGTCTCGCTGCCCGCCAGCGCAGCCCAGAGCTGGGGGCCCCCCCGAGGCCATCCAGTCTCTCCCTGTCTCCCAGCAGAGAAGTTGGTGATCTCTGACCAGATCAGCTGAGCTTCCGCCTGGTCTCCCTTCGGGGAGTTTTGGGCCCTGCCGAGTCTTCTCCGAGCAGGATTTGCTTTCTGGGTCCTTTGAGCTCCGTCACTTCCCCAGCATTCCCCTCGAGGACCATCTCCATCCCGTTTCTGCCTTTGCCCCTCGCCACGGATTTAAGGCAAATAGGAAGAAGATCCTAAAGCCAACTGATACGGGATTACTTTTCTTGGAGGAAGCATCCCTTCCGAGGGACAGCCTGGGTAGGGAAGGCCTGGCGGCCCTGTAAGATTCCCCTGCCTGGGGGAAATCCCTTCCTCTGGAGGATGCTGTAAAAAGGATTCAGACACGTGTCCTGGTACAGCAGAGCTGGGATTTCAACTCTGCTGCACCTTCGCTGGTTTAATTTGCCAAAGATACTAGCCTGCCTTGCCTCTGGTATCTTACAAGGCATCGTCACGTGTGCAAGTAGTAATGGTGGCCATGCTTTTTGCAGGGTTTTGGCCGAGCAAAACATGTCATTGCCACAGAGAAGCTGAAAGCCAGGTACCCCGATTATGAAGTCACCTGGGCTGATGAAGGATACTGACCTCTGCCTTTAAGAGTTCACCTTTGCGACCGAACGGCAGCAAGCGGGACTGATGCGGGAAGCCACGTGTTGAAAACCTGTCGTCCTCTGGATCTGTGGTGGACTGCCCTGTGATCAAACCTATTGTGCCTGTACATTAGTAGAAGGAAATAAATGATTGCGCTCGCTGCTTATGGTGTCATGTTCCCTCGCACATCGTCCTGGATCCATTCGCTTCCTGCAGTGTCTTTTGACTAAGAGAAACAGCGGTGAAGGGAGGAAGATAGTTTTATGTCTGGGAAAAACGCAGAGGAAGCAGCTGAGCCCAGCCAAAGCAGCTGAAATAAGCATGGACACTGGCACTATTTAGAATGCAAACTCACAAAGATTGTCTTCATCTGCCTGCCGCAATGCTTCTGCTTCATGTGTACCCAAAGCAGCAATGTTCCCAAGGCCGTTTGCAGTTTAAGTTGCTTTGTTTTCTTGATAACTAGCCAGTAGGTTTTTTTTTCTTCCTGGAAATCAAAGCAGTTGTAACATTTTCTAATCTGGAAAGTTGTAAGAAATTGCAAGAAAGGGAAATAACATGGCTCTGGTGAGGGCCTGATCCAAACTGCATGCTGAGGAGGGTTTTTTCTCTGTATGCTCCTGTCCAGCATGGAAACTTTGGTGGATGCTTTGGCTCGTCCTGCTAATGACCTGCAGACGAGATTTCTGGACAGCTTGCGAGTCTGCAAGATCTTTCCTGGAGATTATGACTTGATTGCACGAAGTCCAAGGGCACCTTCGCGGAAATGAGGTTGAATTTCTTGCATGTAAGAGCAACAAGCTCTTGTGAAACCTCACTTTCTTGGAAACAAGGTTTTGTAATCTGTCGCAGTCTGGCTCTTGGGGTGTATTTAAATAAAAGAGTACATGACTTGTGACTGAACTGGAGACAGATACTCACATTCCTACTTGAGTCCCTCGTTCTTTCCCATCCAAACAGCTGCCTTGCTCTTTAATAGCAGCGCTCTCTACGGCAAACAATAAAAAATAAGCCGCTACCCAGGCAGCCTTGCAGAGATGTTAGAAGTCCCAAGGGATAGCAAGAGTCTGGAGGAAGAGCACTGTGGGCTGAGGAAGAGTCTGCCAGCAGCCCCTTCTCGGGGAGGACTCGCAAGAGGACTCAAAAACATGCCCTCCAGTGTTGCCCAGAGGTCTTGTTCCAGCCAGGGATTCACCAGAGAGGCTGGCCTGAAGAGTCTTCTCCTATTCCTGGGGCAGGCAGCAACCAAGGCTGTCATCCCCAAGCCAGACCTGAAGTTAGACCAGAAAGGGTCCAGTGTTTGATGCCGCCTCCTCTGCCTTATTAAAAGAAAAGGCTGGTGCTCTTGACCCTAGCAAGGAAAGGAAGCTGGGACTTGGTGGCGCAGGGGCACAAGGGTGTCGATGTGCTTGCTAGATTGGCACGCAGCTGCCATTCTCTGCTTTTATTGCCCCACGAATGTGTCCAGGCCGTTGGGACCCTCTTTGCACTGAAGGTGGGTGGGAGTATTCTGCCCACGTCCCCCTCCCTATGGCCAGTCCCCACCCTGTGCCTGGGCAGTGCTTCCCTCCTGCTCGGCCCCTGCCGCGTGTCTGGAAGGCAAGGTGATCGGGGAGGTTGAAGTCCAGGCACATTGTTGCTGGAGCAGCCTTTCCTTCTTCTCAACTGAGCAGGCTTGATCTAGCTGCTGGCCCAGGATGCCGGGATCCTGGGGGCTGCTGTCCTCCCTGCTCCTGCTGATGCTGATGGGTGAGTTTTCAGAGGAGGAAGCCACCCCGTCGCTAGGGCTGCATGGAAAGATCCTGAATCAGAGGGGAGGGGCAACTGAGCTTTGATTTGGGGGAACCGAAGGAAGGAAGGAGCCAGCCAGCCTGAACACCTCATCCTCCTGGGGCCATTTTATGTCTGCTGAAAAGTTTGAAGCCTTTCATGTGTTTTGAAATGTGCCCTTTGGGGCTGTGCTTGAGTTTGTTTAAGACGCAAGAAAAGTGGCTACTTGCAGAGAGTGAACATTCTCTTGGCTTGTCCGAGGGCTGGCGTTTTCCTCTAAACTCCGTTGTCCGTTGACACCTTTGTATGTTTCTGGAGAGAGGCAGAAGCTTGTCTCCGATCCTGAGAACTGATTTACACTGAATATTCAGATCTCTGCTTTCTGCATTCAAGTCCGAGCAGTGTCTTGAAGTCTTGAATGTGAATTCCCTAAATGGGATCGTTAGCACCCCTCATTTGCTCTTCTGCATCAGCGAGTGCAAGATTTTGTCTTGACCAACCTGGTTCATGCCAATCTCTGCTGAATGGGCTTTGTGGGTCTTTGCTGTGTGGGAGGAGGAGGAGGAGGAGGAGGAGGAGGAGAGAATGGCTAGAGAAGGAGCAGGTGGAGCAGTAGATCGTCTCCGTGATCCACCCATTTGGGGTTTCTTCCTTTGTCTCGTAGTTGGGCCTCCGTTTTATGTCCAGGCTGTGTTTGTCAACCGATGTGGGAGTCCACGTGTCTGTGATTTTGTGTGTGATTGCTGGGATTGTTCAGATGAAAACCAATGTGGTGAGTTGATTTCCTTTCTGTTCCTTCGGGATGAGTTTAAGACAAAATTGCAGCAAAAAAGATGAGTGGGAGGTAACCGTTTTCCACCGAAAGCAGGAGGGTTCCTCCCAATTCTTTTCTGCCCGTCCCAGCACACACCTGGCTGTGCTGAAGAGATTGCGGTCTTGGAATGGGTTCCGACGGATTCCAAAAGGCTTGTGGACAGGATCAGTTCCAGACAATTCCTGGCCATGAAATCCTCTCCTTGAAAGGGCTGATTGTTGGAGCCCCTGCTCAAAGCCCAAGAAAGGAGACACCCCCCCCAAGGCCCTTCCCTCCCCGCAGCAGCCCCTTTGGGGTCCCAGGGTCCACTGGCCCTTCCTGGCTAGCCTTCCCTCTGGGGCCAGGGGCGGGAGGCGCTCCGTTGAGAGCGGGTGCACTGCTGGCTCTTCCCCTCCATCCAGGCTATCAGAAGGCATCGGCTCTGGGGGCTCCCTTCACCTGCAGCTTCGAAGGCACCATGTGTGGCTGGGAGGACATCAGTAACACAGCCTACCGGTGGGACCCAGCCCAGGCCAGCATCTCCACGGGGCTGCAGCTTCCTTTCGACCACACGCTGGGCACGGATTTGGGTAAGCGGTTCTGCTTGCGGGGGGCAGGCACAGGGGCTGGAAACCTTTGTGAGGCTCTTCCTAAGTGTGTGTTGGAGAGGGGGGGGAGTCCTTGCCTGGGAAGCCTGGAGTTGAAGCACTCCCAGGGAGGTGCCCTGTGCTGGGGGCATCCACGTCCCATTTCTCCTCTTGGCTTATGGGGGCTCGTCTCGCCCCAAGATGAGCCCTAGGGGTGGGCACCTCTCTTCCTGCTTCCTCTGAACGCCTCCGTTGCCCTCCGGTGCAGGCTGGTACATGGCGGCGACAAAGCAGAGAGGAAAGCCCTCGGGCACGGCTCGGCTGAGGTCCCCCCTGTTGCAAGGAGCAGCTGCTGCCTGCGAGATCCGAGCGTGGTATCACCTGTGGGGATCAGGTAGGCTGGCAGAGGGCAACCAGCAGTGGGGTGGGCCAGTGCTTTGCATGATTCTCCCCCCACACACACACATAGCCCCCCCCACCCCCGCCACATACGCTCCTACACAGTTCACAGAGGAAACAGGTTGAGGTGAAGCCTTCTCCTCCGCTGGTTGAAAGAGCTCTGCCGTCCCATGGTCTTTTGAACACAGGTCTTAACGAGACTCCGCAGCCTCTCCTGACCTTGGAGCTGAGACAGGGAAATCGCACCGTCCGCCTGTGGCAAAGCCCTCCCGGGGGCACCTACTCCTGGCAGGAGCTGGTGGCCTACACCGGTCACATCCCGGGCACCTTCCAGGTATTTGGCGCCTGAGCCCAGCCCTGCCTCCAGCCGGTGGGAGCGCCTCACTCTCACCTGGAGTCTTTCCCTCCCTTGCAGGTCACCTTCTCCGCTGTCCAGGGCTCCTCCTCCACAGCACAGCTGGCCCTGGACGATGTGGAATTCCGGAACTGCGGCTTCCCACGTAAAGGGGGGGGGGGAGGCTGTTCCTTTATTTCTTCCTGAACTTCTCTGCAGTCTCCGTTCCCTATAAAAACAGGCCCTGTGGGATGCTGTCTCTGTGACCTGCAGGCTACTCTTGCTTGCCTACGGGCCATGGAGGCTGGGGATGATGGTACGTGTTGCAGCACATCTAGTGGTGGGAAAGGCAGGCAGACAATGGATCGCCACAGCCATTCCCCAAGAGAGATTTTGCCTGTGAATGAAGCAGAGTGAATGCAGCGTAAAGGAAAAAAGACTTGCTGGCAGCCCCCACAGTTGGCTCAGCTGCTTCCCTGAAATTGACAGGGTGACACACACAACGGTGCACTTGACTAGAAAACGGCCTCCACCTGACCTTTTGCCCCCCCCAGGACCCCAGACCTGTGGCCCAGAGGCCTTCCACTGCCAGCAGGGCGGCTGCATTGCGAAAGACCGGGTGTGTGACGGCACCGCCGATTGCAGGGCTGGTGAGGATGAAGCCACCGCTGACTGTGGTGAGCACCATGGGGGCAGCTGGGGCAGGGGGCTGGCTCTCCGCCGTTTGGCCTGGGAGGCCCAGAGATGCCGGGATGGAGCTTCCTCCGGAAGCCGGATCTGCAGCTCCCCTTGCAATTCTCGCCTGAGGATCCAGAATGTGATCTGGTGGTTCTGCTGCAATTGAGGGCCGAGGCTTGTGGCTTCTCTTGAGGGGCCTTGAAGGAAACCCGCATGCCTCTTCCCTGTCGCCCACTCTTGCCCCCGCAGCCTCCTTCGCAGCGTGCTCCTTTGAGGGGGACTGGTGCCAGTGGACAGTGGTCCCCAACGCCACTCTTCCCTGGCTAAGGAACGCCAGCCTCCACCTGGCCTCGCCTTCGGTGTGGCCTTCGCGGGATCACAGCACCAACAGCCGGGAAGGTGAGTTTAGGCAGGCAGCGAGGAAGCCGGAACGGCTTTGTGTTTGTCTGAGGATGCAGCCTCTGTTCGGAATGGCTCCATCTGCAATGGGCGCCTCTGGACCTTTTAGGGTCTCTGCTATCCTTAAAGCCCAAGGCTTTGAGTTTATTCCAGGAGAAAGCCCCCCACCCCACCCCACCCCACCCCGGCTGCTTTCTGCTTTGAGGCAATCACGACAGGTGCAGCTCCCCAGCCCCAAGTGCCTCCTGCCACTCTGCTGCCCCTGCTCTGGGCTGCCCTGAGAGAAGCTGTCCCCCAGCAGCTGCCCTGGCTCGGGGGGTCTGCGGGAGGGGGTCCCGAAGGGGAAGGGCAGGGGGAGGCATGCTGGGGCTGGTCAGCTGCTCCGGCCTCTCTTGCTGGCTTCTGTGCTCGGAGCCCTTTTGGCCCCTGACTCCGTGTCCCAGTCAAGGTGGAGTATTCTGCTCTGGATTCACCCGCCCTCCTGGAGATAAAGGGATCTGCCGGGGTCACCAAAATTAACGTTTACAAGGCTTTGAGACCCAGGCAGCATCTCTGTGTTGCTTGATCCACTGCAGGCTTCTTCGCCTATGTCGAGACTCAGAAGCCGGACCTGCACGAGGGAAGAGCATGGCTGAGCAGCCCAATGCTGGCCCCGGACGCCCCCCAGCCCTGCTACGTGAGTCGCCCGAGCATCCCTCAGGCCACAGCTGGACAGGTTGCTCTTCTCTTACCGGGGGGTGGTGTTCTTGGAGGTTTTCCTTCCGCTTGCGGTCAGAGCACGTCCCCCTTTGAGGCTGGCCTCTCTTTCTTGAATCCCCCTCTGGCTCTGGGGGGGGGGGAACGGGGTAAGAAGGAAACCTCTCTGTGGCTTCCCAGAGAGCGGAAGCCTTGGTCGCCCCAAGCCCCCGTCCCCCTTGGGGTTGCTTGAATCCAGTGGCCGGAGAGGAAATGGAGGCTGGGGTCTCCCTCCCTCCCTCCCTCCCTCCCATCAAGTGGCTTTGGCTGGTTTTCCTTCTAGCTGGTTCTCTACCTCCACCTGCATGGCTCAAGCAGCAACAGCCTTAATGTCTACAGCCAGACGGCAGACGCTTTGCGGCTTGTCTGGAGCCGCACAGGAGACTTGGGCAACTACTGGTTCCGGGAGAAAGTGGATTTCACGGAGGCAAAGAAGTTCAAGGTAGACGAAGCCCAGAGGCCACGGGGCCAGGGGCCTGAACCTCTCAGGCGGACCAGGCTGAGGTGGGCAGTGGGAGGCCGCCGGCAGCCCCTGGCAAGGAGTCTCGGCAGCTGCTCCAGCTCTGTCCGGCGGAGGCCTGCATTGCCCTGCATTGATCAGCTGGGACATTTTTCTCCCAGATCATCATCGAGGGCAGGATTGGAAGCGGGCACGAAGGGAGCATCGCTCTGGATGACCTTCGTCTTTCTCCTCACTGCAGGGCGGTGCAGGACGGTGAGTAGGAGAAGTAGGGTGGCCGGCTGACCCAGGCTCTTCCAGCCGGCCTTTGCCACGGTTGAAGCCCTCTTTCCCCCTCTTCTGCCTCTTGGTCAGCTGGTCCCCTCCTGCTCTTGGCGGAAGGCCCAGGAGCAACAAGGCCGTCTCAGACCGAGGGAGGGAGGGAGGGAGGGGCTGTCGAAACACCTGCGTTACCTGAGCCTCCTGCAGGCCCCCTCGGAGGCCCCTCGGCCGGCTGCGCCCCTGTCTCTTGCTGTGAGGCCTTGGTGTTCGGTCCCTTTCAGCCCAGCTCCCGCCTCCCCCCGTGCTGCAGCCCTCCAGCCCTTGCCCCGGGGGGCAGTTTGCGTGTGACCAGGGCAAGCGATGCCTCGACTTCCAGCTGCTCTGTAACTTCAAGGCCGAATGTGAGGACGCCTCTGACGAGCAGCAGTGTGGTAAGGGGCCAGGGGAGCCAGGGAATATATATATATATATATATATATATATATATATATATATATATATATATATATATAAAAGCACCGGCTTGTTGTGCAGGGATTCTTTAAAAGGGCCAGCACAGAATGGGGCACAGCAGGCAACATGCGGATCCCTGGGCCTCTTCCCCGTCTCCCCAGCCCCAAGCAAGCTCCTCAATAGAAACGCTGCTGCTTTGAACTGTGTGGCCTGTCAGTTGGGACCTTTGGGACCTTCCCTTCTAGGAATGACCGATTTTGCCAAGGACCCCGGGGGCTGGATGGACATCAGCGTGGGCCGCCTGCGATGGACCGCCAGCCAGCTCAGTCCTGTGGGTAAGAAGGTTGCAGGAACGTGTCCCTGCCAGGTTAGAAGTGGAACTGGGGCAATACCGTGGAGGAGGAGGGTGTTGTAGCTGTCTTTGCTCGGCCCAGGGCCCACCCTTGTTCTGTTCCCCCTCAGGGCCTGTTTTCGGTCTGCAGGAGGGGCCGGGGCAGATGTTCTCCATGGCGCGGGCTGCCACTCCCGTGTTGGGCCCTTCAGGTGCAGGCTGTGTGCTGCAGATGGATTTCACCACTGGCCCAGAAGGTATCGGGGCTTCCTTTGTCCCCTTGGCACAGCCAAATGCCGCCTGGCACTGAGGCCGCTGCCTGCTTCTCTCCTCCCCATCCCGCAGGCTTCCTCGCCCTTGCCATTGCCGATGAGAGCCTGGGCACCCACTGGTGGGCTTGGTTTGCCCGGAGCAACGGGACCGCTTCCTGGGCAGAGGCCACGGTCCCTCTGGGCGCAAGGAGAAGGCCCTTCCAGGTAGGGGGCTGTCTCCAGTTCCTTCAGGATGGGACCTGGGATGAAGGATGAGGGGAGGCCGCCACTTGGGATGCCTGGGGCTGCAGCTGCCCTGAGAGGAAGGAAGAAGCAGGGAGCTGCAGGTGAACACCTTGCCCCTGTTTCTCTTTTCCTGAGCTTGAGCTGCTGGCCATGAAGGGTCTCGATGGCCCCCGGGGACCCCTGCCACTTGCCGTCAGCAATATCTCCTTTGTGAACTGCAGCACCGGAGCCCCAGCCTCAGGTATCAGCCCCTGCCTGCCCTGCGGGGCCTCGTCCACTGGGTTCATAGAGGGGAAACTGTGCACTGCAGGCACTGAGGAAAATGATGGCCGTGGGGGGGGCACAGTCATCCCCTCCTGTTGACTGCGGCTGACCTGGGAAACCTCCCCAGCAACACCCTTGCTGCTGCTTCCTCTCCCCCAGCCCCCCAGGCAGGGCTGTCCTGCAATTTTGAGACCGACTGGTGTGGCTGGTATCTGGAGCAGAACGACGGCTTTGAATGGAGGCTGAGCAGAAGCCGAGGAGGGGCCGTGGACCACACCACAGGCACAGGTAGTGCTGCAGAGGGGCTGGGCTGGGGTCTCTGGGGAGCTGACTTTGAAGCCCGCGTGGGGCTTGGAGGTCCAGCCGTGCCAAAGACGGCCTCTTCCCTGCCAGCAAAAGCGAGCGTGGAACAGGTGTGGAGGTTTGGCTTTCTCTGGCTCAAAATGATGTTCTTGCTCCCAAAATCAGAAGAAAGACATGTGAGCCAAATAGTCCCCCGTCTGGTTCAAAATTCTCCAAGTTTCCATGGAGCCCTTTGCTGTCTGGCAGCCTCTGGCAGTCCCCCTCTCCTCCCCAACAGGCTCTTTCCTGTTTGTGGATCCTGGTGGACCCTGGAATCCAGGCTGGCGTGCCCGGCTCGTTTCTGCTCCCCAGGCGACTGCTGCCACCGCTGTCGAGACCTCCTGTCTTTCCTTCTGGTATCGCATGGATGGTCCCCAGATTGGTAAGCCTTCAAACTCCCCTGCAGGAGCACACACACACACCCCCCGCCTGCTGCTTCCTCCGAAGAGGAGCCCGGCTAGCAGGGGCAGGTGGGGGGTTCCGATGGCGGTCAGGTTGTTCTAGTCCCGCACTAGAGAAGAAGCCTACTTGGGGGGGGGCAGTAGTGGCCCCTCCCCTCTTAGCAGCCTTCGCTCCATCTTGTGCAGAAGGCTCAGAGGCGAGGCAGGGCTGCCCAAAGGAGCAGCCCTCGCTCTTGATCCAGCCGCCTTTCTGAGCTGTGTGGCCGTTTTCTGGGAAGTGCTCCCATGCACAGGCCGTCTTTCATCTGCTGAGGTGAGGGGTCTTCTCTGATCAGAGGCTCCGTGCCCTTCCAGCGTGCTTTCCGTGAAGGAAGGCGGCATCCTGAGGGATTTCTTCAGTGTGAAAGAACAACTGTGTTGCGTGAGGCTTCCGGGTTGGCATCCTTCAGAATGTTTACACGTACAACACAGACACGGAAACTTTGGTTTTCTAGGGACCCTGGCCCTGAAAGTGAAGGAGGCCGGAGAATCGGGGGAGCAGGTGCTTTGGACCAGGACAGGGAGCCACGGGGCGGTTTGGCATCGAGCCGCCGCCTCCATTTCCCCCAAGCCTGGTCAGAAGTATCAGGTAAAAAGAGGGGGGCTCTCCTTTGCACAACGCAGACCCAGACCAGGGTGCTGATATCGGGAACACCTGGAAAGAAAGCTGCTCTCGGGAAGAGCTAGGCTGAGGTGGCCTCCTCCTGGTCAGCCAGGCAGCCCCCCCCCCCACACCGGCATGGCCCTTGGCTTTAGGATGGTGGCCGGCAGGTTAGGACAGCCTGCCCTAGTCTGGCTCCAGCTTTGGATTGGATTGGCACCAGTGAGCTTCTGGGGCATCCTCTGTGCCCTCCCCACCCCCAGCAGCCTCGGAATAAATAATCCCCTTTTCTGTGTCGAGGAAGAAGGAAGCAGCGCAGAACAATCAGTCTGGATAAGTGGCTCCCCCCGGATTTGAATAGATTCCCAGATTCCAGTGGGCCTCAATTTTTCTTTATGCACGGAGGGGTAGAAACTTGGCCAATAGTTCTAGCTCTCTTAAGCAGCTTCTGCCACCTGTCCTGCAGGTGATCCTTGAGGCTCTTCGGGACGGCTTTCTGGGGAGCATAGCTCTGGATGACATCACGGTGACGTCTGGAGCCTGCCCGGCCCAGCACCCCTGCTCCTTCGAGGCAGACGAATGCGGCTTCTCGGTCCCCAAGCAGCAGGCATGGCAGCGGCAGAGTGGCGCAGGGGGCTGGGGCCCCCCTGTGGATCACACCATTGGCGAGCCGAGAGGTAGCAGGCAGCAGTGTGCCCCTTTTTGTCACTGGGGAGGATGGGACTTAAGAGGCCCCGCAGGACTGGGCCTGGGGCTCCCAGGGAGGCCCCAGAGAAGGCGCTGCGCTGCTTCTGGGCCCAGCACTCCTGCACAGGAGACGGGCTGGATGTGGGGCCAAATTACAGCCTGGCTCAGGAAGGCAGTTAGTACAATGCTTTACTCACAGCAGGTACCACCCTTGGAGAGTTTATTTCGGCCCTTTACCGTTTCCCCTCCCCCCCCCAGGGCACTACATGATCCTCTGCACTGGTGCAGACAAGCTCCCTTCGGGGCAGGTGACCGTCCTGCGCTCTCGCGCCTTCCCTCCTCTGCTCCGCACCCACTGCGTCTCCTTTTGGTACTACCTGAGCGGCAGTGATCCAGGTGAGCGGGGGGAGGGGGGCAGGCAATGGTGCCATTTGCACTCCCAGCGGTTTGGGGTGTGAGTGCTGCGTGAGCCTGATTCATGGTGCCTAAGATCTCGGCTCGGTCCCTGCCCCCACAGGTAATACTGGCATTGCCCTTCCCCAGAGGTACGGCAGAGGGCAGATGCAGCCTTCGGGCTCTGGACTCTTCTGCTCTGTTGGTTGCTCCCCATAGGATCCTTGACCGCTTACGTGGAGGAGGAAGAGGAGAAGGAAGAGGAAGCGGAGATGGGGATGTTCAGCCTGGATCAGACACAGGGGGCAGCCTGGCGGTACGGCAGCTTTGTGGCAAAGGTCCACGGGAGATGGCAGGTGGGCATGGTGGCCTTTTTGAACACAAGCTGAATCTCTGGCTTGCTGGCAGAAGCGAAGGCTGTGCCTGGAAACAGTCTGAGCTGGCCACGAGCCTCTTATGCCGTCCGTGTCTTCCGGGAACAGGTGGCCTTCGCGGTGGGAGGTGCTGGCGGAGGGCCGGCCTCTTACATTGCCCTCGATGACATCTTTGTGAGGGAAGGCGGCTGCTCTGAACCAGGTGAAGGCAGATGTAGACTTACATGCGCCTCTTTTCTCTCTTTTAGAAAGAAAAGGGAATATTATGGGCACAGTGGGGGGGGGGGAGAGACTCCACCCGAAGCGCACGAGGCTACAGCAGGGTCTCCTCTCTACTTGGAAAAGTTGTTGGGGGCAGCCAAGGTCATAGGTAACCATGGTGTGTGTCCTTTTGGCCCAGGGTCTTGTGACTTCGAGTCAGGCCCCTGTGGCTGGAGCAAGCCCCACGGAAACTGGTACAGCTGGGACTGGAAGGAAGCAGCCACCACGTTGCGCTCCCCATCTCCCAAGGAAGACCACACCCTCGGCACCAATGCAGGTTCGCACCCGGTCCCTGGGTCGCTCGAGAGGAGCCTGGGCTGCCAGGAGGCATCTGCTCTGGCCCCCTCCTCTGCCCTGAACGTTCCTGTGAGCAGGAGGACTTGGTGGCTCCAGTTTAATGGAACAGCTGCCGTTTGGCTTGCCTAAATTTTGGGCTCCGATAGTCCTTAATTCATGAGTTATTAAATGATCTCGGCACGAGGAAACCGAAGTCCTGAAGTTGGTCCATTTAGTGCCTTAAATTTTCCCACAAGCGCTCTAAGTAGCTCGCAGATCAGGCAAGCCCCCTCCACGTTCTGGAACGCTCTCCATCCTTGTCACCACAGCCTTGTGCACAGTGAAGGACACCCACCCTCTGGACCAACCCTGCAGAAGTAGCTCTGGCCCCTATTTCCTTCCTGCTGTTCAGCTTTTTCTTTGTAGGTCACTATGCGTACGTTGACCTGGCAGTGCTGAGCTTGGGAAAGAGCACAGCACGCCTGGCGAGTGAGCCCCTGGCACCCACCACGGGCTCCTGCCTGCGGTTCCACTACCACATGGACTTCCTTGGGCACAGCTGTAAGTCAGAGGAGGAGATTCCTCCCCCCCCCCACCCCGGGCACTGCTGCAGAAGTGGCATTGTTAAAGCTCCTTTGGCAGATCTCTGGTTAGAGGAGGGAAGCCACAAGCGGGGCTGGGTCGTTGGGGGAGGGAGGTGGAGGGCCAAGAGAGCTGACCCCCCCCCCTGCATTGGCAGCTCCTGCAGAGCTCAGGGTGAGGCTGACGGGGGCGCAGGGGGAAAGGGTGATCTGGACCGCCACAGGCCATCAGAGCTGGACTTGGATGAACCAAACGCTCCTGGTGACGAGCCTCGTGGAGTTCCAGGTATTCTGGATTCAGCCTCCCTCCCTGGGCCTGAAGGAAGAGGCAGCGGGCAATACCAGGTCTTGGGACCCGGCCTTTTGAGCCCCAGGCATCCGCCTCCCTTTGCCACAGCCCTCGCACCGCCTCTTCTGAATTAGGGGCTACCCTGCGCCCCTCAACCTGATCCTGCATGCATTCCTTTGATGGGTCTCTTTGGCCCTTTGTGAATCCCCCCCCCCCGCCTCTGTTCCCTGCGTCGGTCTCCCATCCTGCCCTTCTGAGCCTGAGCGCAGGTATCCCCCTTCAGATCGTCCTGGAGGCCAGCAGTGGAGCCTGGGTGAGCTCAGGGGTGATTGCGCTGGACGATCTCCACTACGCAGCTGGGCCGGACTGTGCCTCCCCCCAGGCAGGGCAAGCGGAAGGTAAGGCCGTCTGCAGCAGCCAAGTCACAGCCGAGGGCCGATCCCTGCAGGTGCCACCCTGAGCTCTCGCTTTTCCCTTTTGCCTTGGCAGAGAGCAGCAGCAGCAGCAGCCCTCTCCCAGTGTCGACCATCGGAGTGGTGGCTGGTGTGGTGAGCACCGTCCTGCTGCTGCTGCTGCTGCTTGCGGCCACCTGTTGCCTGTGGAAGAGGAGAGGGAGTCAGGAGAGGATGGAGGAGGAGGAGGAGCACGGCAACGGGCAGGGTTTTGACAACATCGCCTTTCGAGACGTAAGGGGCTGGGGGGTGGGCACATTGTGTGGCCCTCTGCTCTCCAGCCAGGCTGCCTTTAACGGGAATCGGCGGCTGGGTGGGAGCTTCCTTTTGATCCTCCGAGCAGACCCTCTCCTTCCAGCTGTCTCCTCCCTCGAGGCAGCCTGCGCGGCTTCTCCCCGTTCCCTTGGCTACCAGCTAAGGCCAGCCTGTCTCTCCCCTTGGCTTCCAGGACAGAATTATCCTACCCCGGATGGCTCCTAACCCAGCAGCATCCTAGGTCGGCCCCTGCCAGCCCCATCCGGCCTTGCAGCGGCCTCTGTTCCTCTGGAGAGGCAACCGGAGCCGTCCCTTCGGACTCCAAGGGGGCATCCTCGAGACTTGGGTTGAATCAGAGATAGCCAGATTGTTCACGAAGGTTGGCATGTTCAGTCTATGGCTACTCAAAAAGCATTTCAACGAGAAAGTTAAAATAAACCCACTCCCCATAGGAGTATCGCACCCAAGAACACTGGTTTAATCTCTTGTATGAACCCATTGGATTGCCATCCTCCTTACTCAGATGATTGTTGCTTTCAAGGGCCACAAATAGCTTAACCCCCCCCCCCCAAAAGCCTTTGGCGGCACCCATGCTGGAAAGAGGCTGGTGGGCGAGTGATGGGGATGTGTTTGCAGGTGAGCCCCCAGCGCAGCACTTTATTGAAAAGAGGCTTGGGCTTTTTTCCTCAAAACTTATCAGTTGGGGAAAAAATCTACAAAAGTCTTTAAAGAACAGCTGCCGGCGTGAAGGGCCACGAGGCAACCACGAGAGCCACTGACTGCTTTCCGCCCTCCCCACTGAGAGCCAAGCCTTGCTCCCCACCCCCTTCCAAGAAGCCCCGGCCGGCCCTTTGGGCACCCCAAGGATGACGACAACAACTTTCTCTCTTGCCCCTGGCAGATTCAGATGCTTTATTAGGATTTGGATACTTTGAAAAAGGAAGGCAGGAACGTCGGCGGTGAGCGGTTCGTTGATTCACAACAGGGTGGAGACTCTGGAGGCTTCAGCCTGGCAGAGATGCCCTGGCCGTGCTAGAGAGCGAGCGGCCAGGCGAGATCAGTCGGGGCAAACTGATTTCGAGGCTTTGTCCTCACTTCCCTTTGGGGCCCGGCTCGAGGGGCCTGCCAATGTCCCGCCCACGGAGCTTAAGGCCTGGGAAAGAGCAAAGGGGCAGGAAGAGACTCAGTCGGGGAGCCACGCTGCGCCCCCCCCCCCAGCAGCTGCCCCTGGCCGCCTATGGGGAGGCCCTGGGGAGCCTCTGCCCCGCAATGGGTGGCGGGCACCCCGTGCCGATGCCAAGACGGGCACGAACCGGGCATTTGGGCCGCAGCTCGGCTACCCACACGCCAGAAGGCTGGGACTCACCGATGGCCCTCTCGATCTTGCCCAGCACCTGGTTGTTGGGGATGGCCTTCCCGGACTCGTAGTCGGCGATGACCTGGGGCTTCTCGTTGATTTTCTGCAGAGGGAGAGCGGGGCAGATGCACGGGCAGACGCGGGGGGGACTCCCTCCTCCTCACCCGGCCCCCCGGCCCCCCCCCGGCCGCTTACCGTGGCCAGGTCCTTTTGGGTCAGCCCCTTGCCCTGCCGGCCCTGCTGGATCACCTTGCCCACCTCCAGCGGGACCCGGTCGTGGTGCAGCTCCTCGGTCTCCCGGTCCAGCTTGGCCGTGTTCTTGGTGATCGAGTGCTGCTTGTTCTGCCCTGCGGCCCCTGCGGGGGAAGGAGCAGCGGCGGCGGCGGCGGTTGGGGAAGCGGCCGGGGCTCGGAGGGGCGCCGGCCGGCCGGCCTGCCCGCCCCCCTCCCGGGAAGGAGCCGGAGCGGCCCGCTCGCCCGCCGGCGACACCTACACTTTTTGGAGGTCTCCACGTCTTCGCCTCGCCTCTGAGCCGTCAGCACCGCCTGAGGAGCAACGGGAGCGTTACCGGCCGGCCCCTCCGAGACTCCGCCAGGCGCCTTCCCTTCCCTTCCCTTCCCTGGCCGGCAGGGGCGGCCTGCGCACCGGGGGCGGGGCCGCGGCTCTCCGGCCCGGAGCAAGGGTCGAGCGAGGCGAGGCTCCTGTCCCAGGGCGGCAGCGCCTCCGCCGGGAAGCCCCCCCCTCCCCCCCCGCAGGCCGATCCCGCCCGGTCAGCCCCCGCGAGCGGAGCCCATGCAAATAAGGGCTCGGTGGGCGTGCCTCCCGATAGATTGACGTGGGCTCTGCGCAGGCACTCCTCCCACCGGGAGATGGGCGGGGATTGAAAAGGGTGCGCACGCGCGCTCCTGCCTACCCCTCACCTGCTTCGATTTGGCCTGGGCCGCGCTGGGGCCCTTCTTGCGCAGCACCGTTACCGTGTCCCAGTCGCTCTCCGCCATGGCGTCTCTGGTTCCTGCCGCCGCCTCTTCGCTGCTCAACCTCCGCAATAGGCCGTCCCTCTCCCCGTTCCCTCCCTCATCCCGTCCTTCCCTCTCGAGGGCGGAGCGAGGTGCACCCCCCATTGGGCTCTGCCGCTGCCACTCACGAACGAAACTTCAACGCGATAGGCTGACGAACAAGACAGCCCCTCGGTGGGGACTCACGACGTCACAATAACTGTCACGCCTCCACACCGTCTGTTTTGAAGTCCTTTAATAGATCAGCTCTTTTGTCGATCAAAGTTCCCCGTCCTAGGATTGGCTGAGAGAAGGGAGAGTTTTCTGCAAGACTGACCCTGAGAACTCTCCCAGAAGCCCCTCCGTTATAGGTTGCGTCTCAGGCCGTCCATGATGCTCTGCCGTACGATTGGCTGGAACGAGGTTCCCCCTCCTCTTAAGTGGGAGGTGCAGAAAGTGGTGATGGACCGCAGACTCCTAATCGGGAGCATGCGCAGAAGGCGTCTGTCTGGCCGGTCAATTTCTTAATCTTCGACGCGAATCCAGTTTTTCAGGGAAGCTTCGCTTCTTCGGGCGGATGCGCTGCCTGTCATCTCCCGCCACCACTCGGCGGACCGTCCCTGCAGGGATCGGACAAGGACGGCGTCCCAGGAGGAGAGCCAAGCGCCCCCTCGGCAACTCGGCTCTGTTCTCTCAGGGGGCCTCCCAAAGCCGCGATTTAAGCCGCAGCCCCCAGAAGGCAGATGGCCCTGCCGCTTGACCGTCGCGAACAACCGCGCGTCCCTTGGACGGAAAACGGCCGCTCCCCTCTGGGAACCGAGGCGAACTGGAGGCTCTTCCAGCGGAGGCAGCCGATGCCGCCCCCGGAGCGCCGCCGGCACCACCACCACCCTCGCCGAGGGACGCGGAGTCAGGAGCGCCTTCGCGCGCGTCGGACAAGTTCGCCGCCGCCACGCCCCCGCGCCAATAGCAACCGGGGGCGGGGCTTCCGAGTCGGCGGCGCACGGAGGAAGGCAAATGGCGGAAGCGTTGGGCGGGGCTTACGGGAACTTCCGGTCGGCGTTTGGGTGGCCGGACGCTGCTCCGGGTGAGTGCGGGGGGGGCACCGCCGGGGGGGGCGCAACGGGCTTCTCCGCGGGGGGCGGCCTTCCCGGGGCGGGCGGGGGTCTGGCGGGCCCTCCCTCCCTCTCTCCCTCCGCGGCGGAGGGGCGCCGGCCGTGCCCGCTTCTGCCTCCCCGGCGCCCCTCGGTCCTGCGGCGTCCCCCGCCCTGGCTCGGAGGGCCCCGCGGGGCGGCACGTGGCTCCCGGCGCCCGGAGGCCTTCCAGGGGCTTTCCAGAGCCGTCACGCCCGAGGCCGCAGCTCCTCCCCCCTGCCCGCCCGCCCGCCCGAAGGAGGCGCCGGGAGCCGCGGGCGGGGGATGGCCGTGGGGGGGGCGGATGTCCCAGTGCCCGCTGCGGATGGTTCCCCGACGGGCCCCCCAGATGCGCTGCCCCCCCGCCCGGCCCACCACTGGCTGCGGCTCCTCCGGCCGCGCCTTTCGGGGCTTGAGGCGGTAGAAGCGCGGAAAGGTGCCGTCCGGTCCCCGGTCACGACTCCGGCCGTAGGTAGGTGGGGGCAAGGTTGGCCCTTCCGAAGCCCCCGTCGCCGGGCAGCTCCCGAGCCCTCTGCCCTCCCTTTGCGGCACGAAGAAGCGGCTGTCCCGGCCGGGCGAAGCCTGCGGGGCTGCCTCCTCCTTCCCGCCGAGGCTCCGCTTCGCTCGGCTTTGGGCTCGGCCTTGAGACGGAGGGAAGGCGCGGAGGTGTCAGCCAGGGCGAGAGGAGAAATGGCCGGGGGACCCGGCTCGTGCAGGAAACCGTTTCTGCCCGCAGCAGAGAAGCCCCTTAAAAGGGGGAGGGGATGCCCAGAAAGTTGAGGGTTGGGGATGAGATCAGTTGGGGGCTTTGATGGCCACTTTTGCGGGAGAGGAGAAACCCGCCTCTTGCTGCTTTGAGTGAGGGTCCTCGGGGTACAGAACGGGGCAACAGCTTCTAAGAGGTGGGTGGGTTAAGCAAGCCTTAGCCGACCCGCCATTGCCGCTGCTGCAATCCTCCAGGCACAGTGGCAGGTTACCTCGCTATCCCAGCCTGGGGACCTGCTCGCAAGCTGCCGTGGGTGACGGATGCCAGCCTAGCAGAGGGCTGAGCTGCTTGAGCCAGTGGGGCTGGGGCTGCGGCTGCCCTTTGGAACCACCCTCTGCCCACTTGGGGTCCTAAAGTCACACCAGAAGGTTACTTTGATGTTAACTCCTAAGAGAAAGCGGTTTTTAACGTGGAGTTGTTTTTCCTTCCAGGGTTGTGAAGGCCACTCGAACAGGCTGGTTCACATGGCATCGGCCAACGCAACCCCTCCTGGCTCTTTGGAAATAAATCAGCCAGGGTTCCCCAAGGAGATTCTGGGCACTGAACTGGTGGGCAAGTACTTGTGTTCAGAGTGCCGGAACATTTTGCGGCGGCCGTTTCAAGCCCAGTGTGGTCATCGCTACTGCTCCTATTGCTTGAAGAAAATTCTAAGGTGTCTTTGGTTTGCTTTGCTGAGCATCACTCACCTATCCTTTGCTGATGGAGAAAGTGTGTTGGGTTTCAAATGCTCTCCCATGAGGACTAGCTTTGTTTGCAAAGATTGCCCTCTCCCCAAATTCCTTACTCCTTATCAAGAGCCCGAGGGGAACAGATTCCTTCCTTGGGTGATGGCTCAGCCGGCTTGGGCTCTTGACATTTTCCAGGTGGGAAAGATCTCTTAGGATCGCCCCACATGCAGTTCCGCCTGCTTAGTTCCAAACCAAATTCTCATCCTGGAAAGAAATTGCTACACTTTTTTCATTAACTCCCCACCTCCATCCCTCTGCAGAAAGGAAGGAAGAAAGCAGGTCAGCCAGGTAGCCAAACAGCAGCTGCTTAATGATACTCAGGATAGGCAACCTGACACCTGCCAGTTTGGGGATTATTCCTGTTGCTTCAGGAGTTGCAACCTGGAGGGCATTAGGTGTACGCCTCAGGATCAGACAGGGTGGCATGACTGAAAAGGAAGGGTGGGCCTTCCAGTCTATAAACCATTCTCCCTCGTGAGGGTGGCTCACAGCTGTGCAATCAGTTGGAGCCAAACAACAGAGACACGCCGAATGATGTCAGGGCAAAATGCACCTCCGTTCCTTGCTGAGGTGGCTCGTCTTGCTGGGGAAAGGCCTGCCCAGTTGGCTTGGGGGTGTCGCCAGAAGGTCCCTGGGTTCTCACGGTCTTCCTCTTCCCTGCCAGCTCAGGGCCCCAGAAGTGCGCAGCCTGCCTTCAAGAGGGGTTGTACGAAGAAGGTGCCTCGATCTTGGAAACCGGGGTGGTAAGTTCAGCCCCTCGAGTGGAGTTTTGTCCTGCTGTTCTTCCAGGCAGCCCAGGGCCAGTTCAGCTGGGTGAGATGGGGGCCTTGAAGTGAAGGGATAGCCCCCCCTCCCTCCGATTCCTCTTCCGAAGGCTTTCCATTGAGGCACTGAACGCAAATTATTTGCATTCTGAGGCCGCGGTCACAACTGGCCGGGGTCACAACCGGCCGGTCACGGGGACAGGCGTGGAGAAGGGGCGCCAAGAGAGCGGGAGCCACTCCTCCCTCCCTCTGCCGTAGGGTCAAGAAGGGTTTCAGTCCAGCCAGCTAGTCAGTTGGGGGAGCACCCCCGCCTTGCCCCCTCCCGGCAAAACTTTCCATTTGGGCTGGCTTGGACCTCAGGGGCCTCCTGTGGCCAACTCCCCCAGACAAGCTGTTGGTGCGGGGTTGGTGGGCCAGCCTTTTCCATTCCTTCTCAGCACCTTTGCACTTAACCCTTCCTTTTTTGCCCTTTGAGGCTTTCCCAGATAATGCAGCTCGGCGGGAAGTGGAGAGTCTCCCGGCCATCTGTCCCCACCAAGGTTGCACGTGGAAAGGGACCATAAAAGAATATGAGGTAAAGATCCCAGCAGGAAGCCTCAAGCAGCCCCTTCCTCTGTCTGAGCGGTGGGGGGGTGTCGATGGAAAAAGGGCGGGGGATTGGCCCTTCCTTGTCTCTGGAGGGTTGGGGGCTTTTACGAGACCTGTATGTGGGGTAGTGGCATCGAGCAGGACCTACCCGGGGGCACCACCCCCTGCTCCATGGGAACTTGGGGCACCCCGTCCCCTGTGCTCTGGGGCCGGAGAGTGCCTTCCGCGTGACCTTGGTGTTTGCTGCTTGTCCTTGTCCTCCCCAAGAGGGGGTTTCTTCCCCCCCCTCAGTGCTCAGGTCCAGAGTCTGTGTGGAGGCAGCCCTGGCTCTGAGGAGGCGGCGCCTGGGAAGGCCTGGGATGAATTCTGTGGAGAGGGGAAGGCCAAAGACTGAACCCCACCATCTCTCCCTGAAGAGAGGCCCCTCGTATCACCCCCCCCTCCTCTCTGCCTTGAACCACGTGGCACAGTGGAGACCGTGGAGCTGTGGATGGGCAAAGCCTTCTCCTGCCCCCCTTCCCATGGAGAACCGGAGGCTAAATCTGCCTGGACTGGCTCAGTTAGGCGCCTGTCTTGCTGGGTCTGCAGCTGGGATGGGCTGCGTGCTTTGAATGTCAGAGCTTCCAGCTTGGAAAGTCCCTGGCGGAAGCCTGCAGTGACACCCTCTGGAAAGTCCCTAAAATACTTGCTCGTTATTCAACCCCAGGGGAAGGGGCCTGCTGGCAGCGCCAGGAGAACAGCGGCTCTCCTCCCTGTCATCCGACACCAGCAAAGAGAAGAAGCTGCCCCCACCATTGACCGCCGGCTGCCTTCTGGCGCTGGTTTTACTTTCTCTTTGGGGTGGGGCGACAGTGCAGACTTGGCTCTGGAAAGCGAAAGTGCTTCCCTGCTATTTTCAACCCTTGAAGACTCTGGCCACAGAGAGCCTTAGTTGCTTCTCTGCTTCCAGATGTGCAGCTTTCTGGCTCGGCTGGATGTAGTTACTATCTCTCAGAGAAGGGCCTTCCCAAGATCTGAACTGGAGATCAAGAATTCCAGGTTGCAGGCCCTAACGGGGTGCAAATTGGCTTTCAGGACAGTTTTGACTTCAGTGGGAAGCTGGAGTATCCCAGCCAGGCAGGACACACACACACACACAGTTTGGGTCCGGTTCTTTGGAAGGTTCTTAATAAATTAGCCCTGCCGGAATACGCAGAGGACCACCCACCTCTTCACAATAGCCGGGTGCATGCTTCACCGCCAAACCTGCAGGGTTCCCATCCGAAACAGCAATGGGCATACCTCATCCCTGGCCTCCCTCCCAGTATGTTGGTTTTACAAACACAACAAATTATTGAGCTAATTGGAAAATAAATAAGAGCCAGCGAGAACAAGCTGTGTGGCCTCCAACAGATCCTCTCCATAGCCATCAGTCGATTACAGACGTTCTCTGGGCGCAGAGTCAGCACAGTGGGGCTTGCTGCCTCCCTCTGGGGTGAATTTCCAGGCTCAGCGGCCCCTCCCTCCCTTCAAGGGCAGCCATGCGGAAGGGCCCCCCTGCTTTCCTGAGCTGAGCTCCGGAGGGGGGCCTGGGTGGCGAGGGCCTTCCTTCGGCTGCTGGCTGGGCTAAGTGCCCGGACCTTTCGCTGCAGAGCTGCCACGAGGGGAGCTGCCCGGCCCTGCTGGTGGCCTGTCCGGCGTGCCAGGGCCTGGTCAGGCTGGGCGAGAAGGAGCAGCACGCCGAGCAGGAGTGTCCCGAGAGGAGCCTCAGATGCAAATATTGCCAAGCTCTTTTCCACTTCTCCGAAAACAAGGTACAGGCCCGAGCTACACCCCCCCCCCGCCCTCCCCCAAGGCCAAGGAGCCCCCCAGGCCTGTTGTTGCAGCAACACTCAAAAGCACCCCAGAGGTGCTGCCTTTTCCCTAGGCAGTTTACAGCTCTGCCTTCCTTCCTTCCAGCCAGGCCCCCAAGTGCCAGCTGTGGAAGGCCAGCACTGTCCTCGGAGAAGTGGGGCAGAACGTGGGCTAACCTGCAGCTTTTGTTTTCTAGGCCCACGAGGCAGTGTGCCCCAAATTTCCTCTGGCCTGTGAGGGCTGCGGAAAGAAGATCCCACGGGAGAAGGTCAGCAGTGCTCAAAGCCCTTGGCTTTAGCGCCCCAACAAGGCCCCCAAGTCTTCTGAGGAACCGCCCCAGAAGTGCCCATGGGCCACGCACCTTTCTCCCCCGTGGCCGGACAGGGCAGTGACCTTGGCCAACCCGAGCGGCCCCCTCCCTCCACCGGCAGAGGACGCCAGGAGGTTGCCTGGTGTCGGGTCAGGCTCTGGAGTAAAGAAGGCAACCGGCCGTTGCTTTTGGGATGGTCCCCCGTCACCCCTCGCATTACGGTCAGGGAAGTCCCGGCCAAGGTGGGGCAGAAACAGGGCCTTCCGGTGGGTGAGGGGAATGTGCCTCCTCCCCCTCCTCCTTTTGAAGCTTCTCTCTCTCTTCTGCAGTTTCTGGACCACGTCAAGAGCTGCAGCAAATGCCGAGCCCCCTGCAGATTCCAGCCGGTCGGCTGCACCCACCTGGTATGGCTGCTTTGGGCTTCAGAGCGGAGGAGGAGGCCCAAAACCAATTTTGGGGGGAGGCTGGCCCTAGAGCAGCCCCTCTGGTGCCCCTTGGACAGCATGTCCCTGTGTCCTGGCCCAGCCCTTGGCGTCCCCCCCCCCAGCCCAACCCCACAGAGCCGTCTTGCTCCGCCTGACCCGCCTGCTCCTTCTGGGCTCCTTCACAGATGGAGAACGAGAAGCTTCCCGAGCACGAGAGGAGCCACCTGGGCGAGCACCTCTACATGCTGCTGAGCTTCGTGTTGAGCTTGGGCTCTGCGTCCAGCAAGCTGGAGCCCCTGCTGGACTGCCTCTCGGCGGAGGCCGGCTGTGCCCTGGCGGGGGGCAGGCCCCTGGCCCCAGAGGCAGAGCTGCCCGGCTCCTTGGGACTCCTGGGAAAGTGCGAGGCCCTGGAGAGGAAGACGGTCACTTTCGAGAACATCGTGTGTGTGCTGAACCGGGAGGTAGAAAAGGTGTCGCTCGTGGCCGAAGCCGCCAGCCGGCAGCATCGGCTTGACCAGGAGAAGATCGAGGCCCTGAGCACCAAGGTGGGACGGGGGTTCGTGGCTCCCTGGTGGGACGGCCCAGGTGCGAGAGGTGCAGGGGGGGTGCGTTCAGAGTGGGGCTTGGTGTCTTCCGCAGCTCCAGTCCCACGTCCTGGCCTGGGGGAAGCAGAAGGGGAAGGGTGGTGGTGGTGGCATGGTTCCCTGTGCCTGGATTCAGCTTCAGCACTTTGGGACCACAGGGCTTTTCACGCCCCCCCCCCCCCCCGCAAGGCTCTCGACTGTCACTGTGAGCGCGTGTTGTGCCCTCCTGGCCCAGGTGCGGCAGCTGGAGAGGAGCATTGCCATGAAGGACCTGGCCCTGGCCGAGATGGAGCACACCATCCAGGAGATGGAGGCGGCCTCCTATGACGGCGTCTTCATCTGGAAGATTGCAGACTTCGCCAGGAAGCGGCAGGAGGCAGTCGCGGGGCGCTCTCCGGCCATCTTCTCCTCAGGTAGGGAAAGCCACTGCTGGGAACATCCAGGGGGAGGGGGCGGTGCAGTCCGGAGGGCAGGGCAAGCTGAAGGAAGCTGTGCCAGTGTCCCCCACGGCTTCCTCCCCAACCGTCTCCTACTTCCGTCCTTCTGCACTGCTTGGCCAGCCTTCTACACCAGCAAGTACGGCTACAAGATGTGCCTGCGGATCTACCTCAATGGGGATGGCACCGGGCGGGGCACCCACCTGTCTCTCTTCTTCGTGGTGATGAAAGGGCCCAACGACCCCCTGCTGCGGTGGCCTTTCAACCAGAAGGTAGGGCCGTGGCGGGCCCAAGGGGGGAAGAGGCAGCTGGGCCTGCAGAAGGGGGGAGAGCGCGCTTGGAGGGGGTCCTTGGCTTCACAGAGCAGCCTTTCCTGCCCCAGTGAGTGAGCCAGATGCCTTGGCACCCTCTGGGGTTTCGCAAGGGCACAGGTCAAGAGGGGCCCAGAGATTTGGGAGGCTATGGCCAGGCTTCCTGTCTCCCCCGTAGGTCACCCTGATGCTTCTGGACCAGAACAACCGCGAACACGTCATTGACGCCTTCCGGCCCGACGTCACCTCCTCCTCCTTCCAGCGGCCCATCAGCGATATGAACATTGCCAGCGGCTGCCCGCTCTTCTGCCCCATCGCCAAGATGGAGTCCAAGAACTCCTACGTGCGTGACGACACCATCTTCATTAAAGCCATTGTAGACCTCACGGGCCTTTAACGCCTTGCCCGCTGGGCCCTCGGAGCACGGGACTGTGTGGCCTCCTGGGCAACGAGGGCCTGGCGGACCTTCTCTTAGCCTTGGACTACCCCCTGGCCACGGGGAGGTGGCTTTGAAAGCCAGGTGGGTCCTGAAGGAGAGGCCTTTCCTGGTGGCCCCAACACGCTCGGGGGCTCCTCCCCTGCCCTGGATTGCTGTTGGTGGATTGGGAGGGGGTGGCTGCTGGCTAGGCCAGAAAGGGAACCGAGTGGCTGGACACCCAAAGGAAGGTCCAGCAGCTGTTCTGGGCAGTCTGGCAGAGCCCGTGGAGGGGACTTTCAGAGGCTGCTGACAGCTGACCTGCTCCTGGCCAGCCTGCTTGCACTGCCAGGCAATCCCCCCCTCCCCACCTGATCAGGTTCTCTGGGCATGGAGGCCCGGCAGCTGCCAGGGAAGACGCTCCAGCAGAGGTTGAGAAGGGACGGTTCATGAGCAGAGGTGCGCTGGCGGCGGGGGGGGGGGCTTCCACTGGAGCTCGCAACAAAAGAGCCCTGGGAAATCGCTCCTCTCTCTCCTCCACTGGCGAGGGGGGGGGGCTACTCTGAGGAGAAGCAAGGTCTCCCAGGAGGTTTGAGGCTATCAGGGCAGATTTTGATTGTCCTGCTGAAATGCTCTTGTCTGGGCAAACGAGGACGCTGAATAAAACATTGTAGAGGCGAGCCCCGTTTTGCTCTTCTTTGGGGTGGGGGGGGCTAGGCTCCTCTGAAAGCTGGGTTGCCTGGCGGCAAGCCAAGGAAGGTTTGCCCCACAGCCCAAGGATCATCCCACTGGAGAGCAACCCCAGGGCCTCCGTTCCCTTGCCATCTGCTGCCTCACATCCGCCACAGAAGTGGGCCTCGTTCATGGCCACTGGGGGGGGGGACCTAAGGGGGCGCTCGTGGATGACAAAGATGCTCAATGCAAGAGCAAGTCAAGCAAAGTTTATTAAGACCAAGCCAGGCCGCACTGGGTGGCCAAGGTTGGCGGGGCATTGAAGCTGCCCACCCCCTCAAAGTGCACATTCTTGAGCAGCCACACAAACATTTTTCTTTCTGCTTCAGAAAAGAAACACCAGTCGTCCTTCGCAGCTTATATTCCCCCTCCCCAAAAGAAAATGTTTTACAGGGAACGTGAAAGAACTCCCAGAGCTGGAGGGCACACGTGCTCCGTCCAGGGCCTGGCAGGCTGCAGGTCCAAACATTTTCAGAGCCAGCCTCCCTGCCACCCGGGTCAACCAGAGCAGAGGCACTGAAGTGGCCAGCTGTGTTTCTCACCTGCTTTTTCTCTTACCTCCCTGCCGAGCAGAGACTCAGCAGGACCAGCACAGGTTTCCTGGCTCCATTCGTGGCTGTCCAAAGCCCAGAAGCCACATCGGGGTGGCAGCATCCTACAGAACTATGCCAGCCTGCAAGCAGGTGGTCTCCTCCAAAAGGACCTTGGACAGCACCCACCAGCCTGCAGCTGCGTCCTCAAATGGCAATTCTTCCAGGCCTCACCCAAGCAGTGAAGGTCAGTGGGCCAGGCCAGAGTCGCAGGGGATGACACACACACACACACGGCCTGAAGCAAGCCCTGCCCGGCTCACGTTCTCTGCTTCGTGGCCCAGGAGAAGAGACGTCCACGAAGCCGGGGCTTCTCTGTGTGAAGGACCCGCACGGCGCAGGGAGAACGCCACACTTTAATGGTGCTGTCCGCACAGGCTGTCAGGAGGAGCTCCTGCTCCACAGGGCTGAAGGCCACCGAGTTCACCACGTCGTCGTGCCGCAGCTTGGCTAAGCAGATGTCGTAGTGCCGGTCCCAGATGTATCCGTGGCGATCCTCCGCCCCACTGCATGGGAGGAGGAGACACGTGGGTGACCATCAGCCAAAGCCAGAAGAGAAGCTCTAGGTACATGACGGCCGCCCACTGCACAATGCCTCAAGGGGCTATCCCTCCAAGAGGCGCAACGGGACCTGGAAGCCTCATAAACATCTGGGCTGCCCCCTTTGCTAAGGAGCCTTCGCTGGGCAGGGCCAGGCTCACCTGGCCACGAAGTCCCTGCTGACATCAAGAAAAATGAAGTTAAACTCTTCGCTGGGGGTGAAGGCCCGGTGTGCCCGCAATGCCCGCTTGGCCTCCTTCATGGTCTTGAGGTCCAGCACACGCAGCTCAATCTCCTCGGCGATGGGGGGCGGCTGCAAAGGATCGGAAATGACGCAGCCCTCGGGCCAAGCGCGGCTGTTGACGTACAAGTACCTGGAGAGGGCAGAGAGAGAGGGGGGCGGTTCCGCTGGCCTCGTGGAGGGTGAGTCTGCAACACAGCCAGCCCTCCACCGGTCCCTACACAAGCCTGTAGTCGCCTAGCCCCCACCACCACCATCGTATCACCCGTTCTCCAACCCAGCCCATCATCATTGGCAGTGTTGCCTACCTGTGGTCTGGGGAGAGGCCCATGCCAATGATATGCCCGTGAATATCAATGACGTGATCCAGCGAATCGAAAAATCTGTCCGAATTCCTCTCTTCCCCCAGAACAGGCCCGGCGGTGGTCATTTGATGGGGAAGGATCTGCTTAATTCCTTGAGGGAAAACGAGGAGGGAGGAGGCAACTTGCCAGCTCGCCCGTGTCTCACAGGGTGATACCAAACCTCTTTGGACGCCTCCGCCCGGACCGAGAGTATTGGACAACCTCGCCAGGCATCGGGCCTCCAAAGGGAGGCAGCCAGACATCTCGGCAAAGCTCTTCCCGTTGCTCATCCCCAGGCCCTGGTCGACAATCCCTGAGCGTTTGAGGTTTCACAGTCTGCAACAGCCCTTCAGCCGCCATTTCTTCCACCCAGGTCCCTTACCAATCTGGTGAGGTGAGTAGGTGAGGCAGCCGGTGCTGAAGACCAAGTATTTCTTGTTCCCACCCTGCAGGGAGAGCAGGTTGGGCTCCGGGGGCTTCGTGCGGTTCCGGGCCAGGAGTCGGGCCACTTTCGTCTCCATCTCCATCTCCGTCATGATTGGCCGGACGCGTCCCGCCATGACGTCACTCAGGAAGCGGTCCAACCCATCTTCAGTCCCCGCCTCCCCTTCAGCCGCTGGGAAACGCCTCGGCTGGACCCTCTCCTCCGTCTCCTCGGGGGGGCACTCCTGGCAGGGAGAAGCAGGGCTCTCCTCTCCCCCCTGCTCTCCGGGACTCGTCAGCTCCTCAGCAGAGCTGTAGCGGCTGCAGTCCACCACCATCACTGTCCGGACGGTGCTGGCGTTCAGGTTCTGGATTTTGAAGAGCCGTTTCACCACGTTGACGTTCTCAGACTCGACGCCCTACGAGTGAAGAAGCAAGCAGAGTCAGGCAGCTGAGGCTGGAGCTTCCCCCCCCCCCCCGTGACCCCAGGGGACAGCCTCAGTTCACCTGGAAGGCATTGTTCAGCCACAACACGGAACAGGAAGTGAGGAACCCGATCCGGTGCAGGTTGCTGGAAATCAGGTTGGTCTCGTTCAGCCAGCAGCCAAACACGTCGTAGGGCTTGTTGCGGACGCGGGAGAGGAGTTCGAAGTTCTCTAAAAGAAGAACGGCAGCGGCTGAAAAGGTCTCCTTGCTCCAGGGAGAGGAGGGGTTCTCGATCCGGAGGGACAGGAGACCCTCCGCCCGTCTCTCCCTACGCAGCAGCAGCACCTGGGATCCCCCAGAGGGCCCCCAGGAAGGAGCCTCTTGACGGCTACCCGGCCCCATCCAGTCGTCCTCCGCAGCTGCTCGCTGGCTCTGGCCTGGGGGGCGTCTGGGCTCTCCAAGGTCTCGCTGGGCGCCCTGCAGGTCTCCTTACCCAGGCCGATGACTGCGATCTCCCCAGACAAGGAGCTCCGGGGGCCCATAAAGACTCCGGACACCAAGAGGAGAGAGTCGTCTGCGTTGAACTGGGAGAACTGAGTGTAGCTCCAGTTGTATTTCTTCATGCTGGTGCTATGCAGCAGTGAGATCTGGCGATCATTGTTCCAGATCTGCAGCCAGGGAGGAGAAGGGCCAGGGCCGTCGGGTGGGTGGGTGGCTCCAAGGACCCCGGCCCAGACCCCCCCACACACAAACCGGGGCTTTTGGGGCCTTGCCCAGCAACCTTCAGCTGCATCACCAGAGAGACCTAACAACACTGCCTTCCCAACCGGTCTGGCACAGCCACAACTACTTTCCCCCCCCCGGGCTTCGTGGGACCCGCCCCCCACCCCCCGGAGTGGGGCGTCCCCCCGACCTTGACCGTGCAGTCCTTGGAGCAGGAGGCGAAGCGGAGGCCGCTGTGGGAGAAACTGAGGTGCAGCACCGGCTCCGCGTGCTCCCGCAGGCTCTGCACCTCCAGGCGGGGGACGGCGTCGCAGAGCCGACGGAACTCCCCGAACCAGGAGGCGGCGGCTGGAGCGGAAAAGGAGGCCGGTTCACGCAGCCCCCCAAGGCGGGTCCCGAGGCCGCCTTGCGCTGGCCCGGCCGGCAGCAAAGGCAGGGCGGGCAAACGCTCGCCGCGACCCCCCCCCGGCCGCCCCCTCCCCTCGCGGGATTTCGGTCCCTTTGCCCCCGCCGGCTCCCCCGGCCCCCTCCCTCCCGCCCTCCCTCCCGGTGTGGGGCGGGGCTTCGGCGGTGGTCCCCCGCCCACCTGGGTGCCGCGGGACGTGGCGGGCGACGCCGTAGTGCCGGTAGAAGAGCCGCTTCCAGAGCACCTCGTCGCGGGCCACGCGGCGCCACTGCCGGCACACCCGCCCCGCGGCCAGCAGGTCCGGCGGCCGCAGGTGGCGGAAGATCTCGAAGAGGAGGCAGTCCGGGAGCATGGCCGCCCCGAGCAGGGAGGCTCCCGCCGAGAGCGGCCCCTTCCCGGCCGCGCGCTTCCTTCCTGCCTTCCTTCCTTCCGGCGGGCCCCGGCCCGAGCGCGCCTACGGAAGCCGGCAGGGCGACGCGCCTCTCCGGCGTCCTCCCTGGGCTCCGCTGTGGCCAGGCTCGACGAGCGGAGCCCGGAGTGGGCCACGCCTCCTCGGCCAGCAGAGGGCGCGCAGGCGCGCGTAGAGGAGCGGCGGGAGGGGGCGGCTAGAGCGGGCGGGCGGGCAGAAGAATTCTGGGAGTTGAAGTGCAGACTTTGTTGAAGTTGCGGGGCCTGTCGGGGAGGTGAGCGGGGTGGGGCTGCGGGCGGGTCCCAGACTCTGGGAGCAGAAGCGGGTCTCCAAGGGCGCCACGAGAGAGCGGGCAGACTTGGGCCATGCCAGCCCTGATGCCTGGCAAGCAGCGCTGGAGAGGCCCCGTTTGGAATATTATTATTATTATTAGAAGCCTCGTTATTAATATTAATACCGCAGCAAGAGGCGCAGGGGCTGCAACACAGGCACAGAAGAAGGAAACCTGCTTCAAAAGCCTTAAACTGACATAAAAGGCCTATGATGACTGCAATGCTAAAGGACAGAAAACAGTGCCCTCCTGTGGTCAAGACCGGAATAGCAGCGACACAAGGAAAAACCTTGCCCCAAAGAGGGCAAAAAAGTCAGGCTTTCCCAAGATGAGAAAGACAACATTGGCTATTTTGTGGGGAAAGTCCTCAGAATGCAGCCTTACGTCGACCTAACTCTATTCTAATCCCAAAATTGGTCAAACCTCAGGCCTTAGTCTTTCCTTACCCAAAGAGGGCAAAAAAGTCAGTCCTTCCAAGATAGAAAAGGCTGTCTTGCTCACTTTTGGTGCAAAGTCATAGAATGCTTGATTCCAATGACATCATCCCCAAAGAGGACGACGTCATCCTTTCTTTCTAGGGAAAGCCTGGCCTTTGGGGCCTCTTTGACTGACAGAGTGCTAGGGCGACGTAATGCTGCATTCTGATGACTTTGCCCACAAAATGACCAACACAGTTTGCGATATGTTGGGAAAGCATGACTTTTTTGCCCTCTTTGGGGTAAGGATTATTTCCTTGTGTGGCTGCTATTCCTGCCTTGTCCGCTGGAGGGAACTGCTTTCTCTCCGATAGCATTAGCACTGAAGCCATCATAGGCCTTTTTAACTCGATTTAAGGGTTTTGAAGCACGTTTCCTTCTTCTGTGCCTGTTCTGCACCCCTTGGGCCTCCCGTTGCTCTATTATGATTAATATCAAGGCTTCTAATAATGTAGATGGAGAATAATAATTTTAAAATCATATTGAAAAGGTTTTTCCTAATAGATTTTAGCCTATATTGCTCTATGTGTCTGTGTTAAGATACACAGACACATAGAGCAATATAGGCTAAGATCTATTAGGAAAACCCCAATAGATCTTAGCCTAGATGACTGTATGCAACTGTGTTAATGTACACAGGCACATACAGTAATAGGCATATTCCCTAATATATGGTTTATGTTTATATATCTACATATTACCATATATTAAGGTGTATACCATACTAAGGTTACCAGCTCTAGCCCTGCAAAAGAAAAAAAACCACTAGAGGGCAGCAAATTACATTTGGCACCATCTAGTGGCCTTGCATCTTTTTGCAGCCCAGATCTGGTAAGCTTAGAGCAGTCTTTTTCAAACTTGGCCATTTTAAGGTGGATGGCTTTCAACTCCCAGAATCAGGGCTTTTTTTCAGC